ATGGTGAAATGACCTTTAGATGCTGCTGCCTGGAGTGCATTCCCATATCTTCCTTTTCTTGCACTTATATCTGCTCCTCTTTCTAGCAAACCTTGTGTTGCTTCAATCAATCCAGCCAGTGATGCATAATATAGTGGTTCAGCAATCTCATCCTGCAGCTTTCCTGAAGTAATATAGTCATTGTCATCGATATTGCAAAGTTGAACCCAGTTTGCAAAAGCAAGGTTTTCTTCTGTCAGAAGCTTCATCATCAATGCCAATACCAAAGATGACTGAGAATCATTCTTGTCACAGGAATGTGCATGTGTCACCCAATATTCTGCAGCATAGGCAGCAAGAGGAGAGGATACCTCTAAATTCATATACAGTGCCTCAGATTTATTGAATTGTAACAGATAGGCCAGACAGATTTGAGATATGATAGTGTGTGATAGCCCCTCATTAAAACTGAATTCTCTGACTTGCTTGACAGCATGATCTTGAATATACTGAGATATGAGATATTCCTTAACAGAAAAGTGAGAAAGCTTAACAAAACCTATTAATAGTCAGTGCTTATTTCAAGGTAGTACTATCCTGAACCCCACCATCTGATTTTATAATAAAACTAGAACATATTTTCAAGACATCCTTAACTTCTTGAAGTTCATTTTCAGATCTATACTCTGGTCCATTCACAGCAGAAAGATCAACAGCAGCAGTTGTAGCTAGCTCCTCCAGTGTCAATGGACGGACAGCAAAACATAGCCATTGTAAAAATGTCTTGGCATAACTATGATCTTTTTCTTTGATTTCCAATAAGATTTGATCATATGTTTTATCCAAACCCTGGGGTAGATCAGCTAGCTGCTGAATCAAATCAGTTTTGGTCCGGCACTCTTTGAGCTCATTCAGCTGTAATGCAACCCAACAAAACCTAAAATTTTATTTAAGTTATTTTGTCATTCAAATGTTGATAAAAAACATACATTCCATCTGCTTGTTTCATCAATGTCAACTTTATTTGCTCTTGAGTGTCAAAACTCCATTTTTGCAAGTCAGAGTCATGTTCAAGCTGATAGTCAAGATAGGCTACAAGATCATGATTCTCAGATTCCTCAACTAAGTCAAGATATTGATAAAACTTGGGTTTGTCCTCAATCTCCTGTTCTGGGCGACTAGTAACTATCAAGTGAAGCCCAAGATTTATATCTTTCTCTTGGATAAAAGCCTGAATCCAATCAAGAAGCTTTTCTCTTTCAGCACATTCATCAAGGGCATCCAGAATAATAAATGTTGAGCTAAAGCCAATAAGAATTCTGTGAAGAGTATTCTGCAGATCATCCAGAGTTGGCTCCTGATGGCCATCACCACAGCGAGCATACAGATTCACTAAGACTTTAGGCACTCCACCCTTACATTTCAGAGAGAATTGCCAGATGAGTGATCGTATCAGTTTATCATGCAGCTGGAAATCTTTCTGTGAGTCTCTTCCATCAAAAAAGAAGTATGCAGTAGCAAGATTGAATCTTTGAAGAAGATTGTGAATTATTGCTGAGCTGTGTAAAGAAAAATCAACCCAATGTTTTAGAAATGTTTTAGAAATATTGAAATTCTCAACCTTAAAATGGTTTTCCCAGAGCCAGCTGGATAGATGGTCAATAACATATAGATTTACAAATCTTGACAAAAAACTTACATTTTCCCTTGACCCAGAGAAATCCAGGTTGATCCAGCCACCCAGAAAATTTATTTCCATTCAGAAACCATAGACAGGTGTCTGGCTGACTCTCCAAAGCTCCATATGCAGCATTGTAGTTAATAGACTCCTTGGGTGGAGAAAGCCATTTATAAATCTCCTTTGCTGTAACAGAAAAATTAAGTCAATTATACATTTTGAATAAGAACCTCCAATAATACCCAGTAGTACATCTTTAACCATGTCAAGTGTGATATGAATCTTTGGGTCCACACCTACCAACCAAAAATAACATTAAAATGAATATGATGTTTTTCTTACTACTTACCTTGATTGATGGTACCTATTAAACTATAAGTAAAAAGAATAAAATGTGATGATTCAAACAAAACAAACCATAGTTGGGAGCTGTGTTCACATTTTGAGCTGAAATATTGTTTATGATTTCAGCTTGAAAGTTTGTTGAGAACTCTGCATGTTCCATGGACCATCAGATTCTGAACTATGTGTGTAAGTGTACTGACCAGCAGGCATTGATTCTTCATTCAAAGGAGAAGAAATGATTGGAGAGATAGGCAAGTCAGAAATTGGAGGATCTACACAGAGTTATCAGAAATAGAGTATAGAGATTTGGAGCAAGCATGGACCTGTCAAGACAGAAGAAGAGTGTTGCAATAAATGAACAGCTCCTTGCATAGAACCTTCAACCATATCAGCTGTAAGATCAGAATTGACAAAGGTAAATATCAACTTTATAGCAAACAGATTGAGGGGTATCTTACAGGCAACAGTCATTTTGGTGTCCACTGACAGTAAAGAGGCAGGCAGGTGAGGACTCAAGAAATCTATATCAGTGTTACAAATGATGAATGATAGAAGTTTGGGGTTAATGCAGACCAGTGGAGATATGTAAAACTTGTTGCAAGCACTCAGCCACTCCTCAGTCAGTGACTTCAACCTGATCACCTGCTTATTTGATTTCAATGAGTGATTGATATTGACCTTGGGGCAGGAAGATTGAAAAAAGTATCTTACTAGTGACTGGCATGGCTATGTTGGCCACACAGATGGTCAAAGGTGGAGTTATCAAGGTAGGCGGGGCAGAGCTGGGGCGAGCTATATTGATATTTATCTGGTAGCATGATATCATGAACTCTAACCTCAAACCGCCACGGTGTGGGCAGTCAGCGATCATGACTTCATCAGGCAATTCCTCAAACTTGGGTTTCAAACTATTTTCGCAGGGGTCGTTAGAATCAGACATGGTGGTTCAGAAGAGAGTATTGATGCTGTGCGGTGCCAATCTTCGAAATGTGTAACAGACTGTTTCACAGAATCAGCTGACAGGCCTGAACAAGGTCTCGTTCTGAGAGGTTAAGTGGTTTGGCTGCAAAAGATGGCAGTCAACAGAGAAGTGTGGCACAGAAGCAAAACAATGCACCACCCATCCTTTCAAGGCACTCCCCCATCTATACACTCATCGTCTTGGTGACTACAAAGAGCAAGCTGATTCCTGGAGGAGGCCTGAAGAACTGCCAGTTTTGTCTTTGTTCGACCAGTGTCAATGCGGGTCCAAGGCCACTTCCAATCTCCAAATGCATGGTTTAACCCAGTCGAACATCTCTCATTGAACAGGTTTTCATCACGAGTCGCGCAATGTTTCCCCTCTGGGTCATTCAGCAACTGTCGCCTGGACATCCTAACCCGACCTCCCACTGCTGCCCGAGATGGAAACGAAACCCCAAGACCACCTTCATCAATGTGCTCTCGATGTAGAGAGAGTGGGAAGCTGCTGAGATTCAAAGGCGAAGGGTTATTGTATGGGCTCTCACCATCCTTGCAAGAATGTCTGGGTGCATCGGTTCTGAGTGAGTTCCCCTTCCACTGGATTTGCTCCCCTTTCTACCTTACCTTATCATCCTGTGCAGCAACAAAACTTGCAGCAGTCCCCCGCATGCTCCCACTAGTCTATCTTTTCTCGATCTCCTTCCTATATGCTGATAATTCTCTCCCAGTTCTAGTCCTTGTAACATCAATGTAACATCGTTCACGAGCATTGTGCTTCTGGAACCTACAGGACCCCCCCCCCCAATCCAAAATGATCCACTGGTTTCTAGTGGCACAACAATCAGACTGGATGCTTACATGGTAAACAGGCTTGCAATCGGAGCACTTCCATCAGGACACGAGAGGTAAAGTTCGAGCATCTCAAAGGCGACCAGGAGGGGAGTATTGAATCAGCGAAAGATGGCACTACTGTAGCATTTCAATCAATTCGACGGTCACACGTCACGGGGCCCTTCAAGTTGCTGAAATGTCACGGTGGTCATGCAGATTTCCGTAAGGTGTTGAATTCATCTGGTGGTCATATGACAAATGTCAAAAAATTTCGTCGCCTGCGGCACTAAATGGTCGAAAATTTGCCCAAATTTTCGGCTTGTCATGGCGAATTTCTGAGGTTGTCGAAACCAAAATTTCGACAGGCTTGTCACGCGTCACGGGCCCTGTCGAATTGAACGAAATGCTACAGTAATAGGCCATTTGAACTGATGGGGATCTCTTCAGTCGGAAGGATTCAATCTTGATGCTGGCCATTGGTAATCCAGCAGGTCAGAAGGAAGGCGACAGTTGGAACTTGGAAGTATGGGGAGCAGCCTAATCTTACATGCCCGCTACATAAGTAGTGGGTCTTAGCCTGCAGCTCTCAAGGGCTCCACCGTGGGAAACGTTACGGTTGTTTGTAGCTCTCTTGCACATGTTTGGATTCTGCTTTCGTCATCGTCCTGGGCCAGCCCTCCCACGGTGGAATACTTTACGTCTGTTTGTACGTCTGCATCGCTTTTGTCATCGTCCAGCCAGAGAAAGAGACGACGTTGGCGAACGGTCGCAAAAATCACTTTTAAAAAAAGTTCATTTCTTTTTAATCTAATCGCCGGAGCGCGCCCGTAGGCCCGCTACAGTGGTTGCAGCTCTCAAGGGACGTTGGCTGTGAAGAGCGAACCGCGCAAGCGGTTCGGCGACGAGCAGCCAACAAAGGATCCCAGAATCACTTTTTAAGAAGAGAAAAAAAACAGTTACTTTTTATGTAAACGCCGTAGCGGGCTTTGCGCCCGTAGGCGCGCTACGGTGATTATTGTTTTATTTATCCACTGTCACAAATGTCTTCCCTGCCCTTCGCATTGCCTTTGTTTCGTTGTGCCTTGTTCTTGGTTCTTGACGACGGATTTTGGCGTTGAGAGTGACAGATATAAAAATTTGTTTTAGGCCTCTTGGAATCTGGATGTACACAACTTGGAGAAGATAATTTTCATCACGTGTGACCATGATCAGTGCTATCGCAGCACGAAAAGCTGCTCAAGCAGAGCTTCAAAAGGTTCCCGATACACCTCACATAGAGGAGCAGGTAGCTCCTCCGCCTCAGGGGACACCAAGGCCAAACCCGAAACGAAAGGCGCCTTTGCAGGATGCAAAACCTTCAAAGAAAAAGCGAGTGAAGAAAGAAAAAGGGAAGCAAGCGGAACTGCCGAAGGAGAGGTATTTCACAAAACAGAAGGATGATTTCAAGGAGCAGGAAGATATGATTGTCGTTGGTTCGGATGATGACGATGAAAATGTGGACGAGCTGTCTCAAGACTCGGACTTGGAGCCAGGACCATCCCTCGTTCCGTCCAAAACAAGGCGCAAATGGTCCCCGAGTCGTATGGTGGAAGATTCCTCAGACGAAGACTCGGCTGAAGTGTCTGCTGGCCCCAAACTCGATCTGTCGCCTTTCTTCCCTAGATCAGCTCGAAAACTTGTCGTCTTTGATGAAAATCGGATTCTGTCGACTTTTCAACCAACAACGGACCAGAACACGTTCGTTCTCACAGCTGAGGAGGTCTCCGCTTTGGACTCGTCATCTCAGAATGTGGGTGGAACTATCCTCATCGTGACACCAGCAGATTCCCTCTGCATTCTCGGAGCGTGTCTCTTGACGGTCATTCATGGTTCCATCTCCTTGTGCTGCTCTACACTGCAATCATCCAACACTGTGCACCGGATATACGCGCCCAGGTCCTCGCCGCTTCCTATCATCAGACATGCTGCCGGTGGAGGATCAATAGCGGATTCTGTTCAATTCCCCCACCGTCTCGTTGAGTTCCCTCGCAATTCGGCTATCATCTTGCTCAGAGAGCTGCCCACGGGCGTGGAAGGCCTAGGTCAAATTTGCCGTTCTTTCGAGGGTGTGTTTGAGCCCTCGAAATGGCAAAAGGGTAAGGCAGAAGCCCCATTCGACATCCCAGGGCTGTATATGGTGAGTTGTTCATTCTTTTGACTTGCCAACATCCATTTTCAACGCATTATGTAGGTCACTCACCAGACGAAAGACATACAGCCCTTCACACTGTCACCATCATGGGAACAGGCATTGGCGGATGTTTCTTCATCAGTGGAGTCCCCTTTAGCGGGAACATACCTCGTCAAAGGCCCAAAGAACTCAGGAAAGAGCACCTTTTGTCGGACACTCTTGAATCGGCTTTTGACAGTGTAATTGCCTTCACTTCTCTTTTAATAACTGCCAATGCCTTTTTTTAAGATTTGAACGCGTCGCTTACCTCGAGTGCGATATTGGCCAGTCAGAATTCACTCCAGGCGGCATGGTAGCCTTGAACGTTATTTCGGAACATCAATTTGGTACGCATATACATCGATTTACACACAAGATCCGCTTAAGGTCGAGTATAAGGTCCTCCATTCACCCATCAAACCCTCCCAAACCAAGCCCACTACATGGGCGCCACCACTCCGCGTTCCTCTCCATCTCATTACCTCGACTCCGTTGCAGCCCTCCTCCAATTCTACCGATTGAATGTTCAAAGCCCCAGCGTCGACTACGACGACCCAGGATCGCGCATCACCGACTCAATCCCACTCATCGTCAACTCCATGGGGTGGGTCAAAGGCCTTGGCGCGGATCTGACTCAAAAAATTGAGGACTTGCTTTTACCCACAGACGTCTTTGATATTCAGCCCTCCTTGGCTAGTGAGCACTATGGTTATTCGGGGGCGCCTCCAACCCCCATACCCAACGCACGGAACCAGTACCAGGCGTATCACGGGGGCGCGATTGCAGATGAAGGCGATTCAAAAGTACACATTGTGCAGGGTATACCCTCTTCGACGTTGATCCCTGGATTCACAGCCGCGGACCATAGAGCCATGTCCATCCTATCGTACTTCCACGCAGTGTTTCCCCAGAATGGGGTGCCTGGAGAAGTGAACCAAGTTACTGTTCGGGGCTGGGACACTGCCAAGCCGCTGTGCGCTATCCCGGCCTACGAGGTTGATGCCAGTGTGGCTTTGGATAAGGTTGTGCTGACGGGCGCGGGGAGCGAAGATGTCGCTCCGCAGGAGGTTGGGCGTGTGCTCAATGGTGCTATTGTGGGCGTTGTGAAGTGTGAACCTGGGACATTGGGTGACTATGGGGATACAAGTATAAATGGGGGGGATACGGAAGGGAAGACAATTGGTATTCCATATACCCGACATTTCACCCCTCCTTCGCCTTCATCGTCAACCTGTGTTGGGTTGGCGCTCATACGCGCTGTGGCTCCTCATCTCGTGGACTGTGAACCCCCTTCTCCTCCCTCTTCTTCACCAGCAAAACCGCTTCTCCACGTTCTGACGCCGCTTCCGCCTGCACTCCTCTCTGGGGCGCGGGTGTTCGTTAAGGGTGAGATGGAGCTACCCATTTGGGGCATGTTAGACTTTAGGAGCAGTAATGAGGGTGATGTGGCTGGTGTTGAGCGAGTCAAGGTGCCGTACCTCCAGTGGGGGAGGGGTGGAGAAGGGGTGGCTGGGGCGGACAAGAGGAGGGTGAGGAGGAATTTGATGCGAAGGTCGCAGATGTGAGGATTCGTCAGGTAATAGAGCATATTTATCTAGACTAGGTCTCTAATCCTTTGGTAGATCTTCGAATAAATTGGTAACTCATCTGCCTTGAAAAAATTAAGCTCGTCGAAAACAAGGTAGGTGTAAGGTTTTATCTAGCCGATGCAAATGTCAACATGACGGTGTATTTTTGGTAATTGCTACTAAAATGTACAGTAAGTGCTTGTGAGATATTGTGGATACAACTTTTAATGAAGGATAAGATGTTTTACAACTACAAAAACCTGAAAAAGCTTGGCGACCATAAGAAGAATCTTCGACAGAGACACCTTTCCTCAGACAGCCTCAGTCGACTGGCCGTCTTGTGAGGAGGTAGAGGGATGACTGAACACAACGCATTAGCAAGCATATATAAATATTGTGGACTCAATGCAGAGCTCAGAAAATTTGCACCTACCGCCACTTGATTGGACTGTCATCTCCATTATATATAGAGGTATCATAGAGCAGGCCTCCAGCTTGAGCGCCAAGGATTGGAGCAATTATGGGTGCCCAAATCCAATATTGTCTATAAGGAACAACAAGGTCATCAATTATCTTAGATGAAAGGCGAAGGGGAGTAGAGTAGGAGGAAACTGAGATATCGAGATGCTGGAGCATACAGAAAATCTCCCAATGATGGCAAAAAGATGCCTGCTTTTGCTCAGAACAATTGCAGCGTACCTGCGATAGTTGAAAACGGCCTTTCCGTAGCCTGCCATAGCAAGGAACAAGCGCGGTCCAAAGTCTCTCGCTGGGTTGACGGCATAACCTTTAAATTAAATTAAACACCAAACAAATATAGAGGGAAACAGTGTAGTGACCTGTTTGCATGCCGAGCGATGCCCCAAGACCAATGAACAAAATAAACAGGGCAAATGGTAGGAGCCCATTTGTGAGTGCGCCATTATGCTTATCGTTGAGAGCCAAGAACACGATGAAAAGGACGGCGGTGGCTAAAAACTCTGAAAAGAAACATGATGCTTGTGTCATGTACGGCAGCTATATTTGTCCAACAAGATATTCATCAGACAAGTTGCGGTGCAGAGACAAAAGGCACTTACAGCAAATGTCGCAAAGAGAGAAGCAGTGGCTTGCGTGCGGATGTGCCCTCCCTCGAAAATATCAATTGCATGGAAATAATTTGCGTACACCAGCGCTGCACCAACAAACCCACCCAACGCCTGGGCGAAAATATAGCCTACAGAACGACAATGAGATCGTTGCGCCACAACCTCAAGAAGCAACAGCCTTGGACGTACCGGGTACTTCACGCCAGGGAAACCCGCGGTACGTCGCCATTGCAATTGTAATCTATAGTTGGCGACGTGAGATGAGACCGATAGCAAAGGAGCGGACTAATTGATACACTTACTGCGGGGTTTATGTGTCCTCCAGATATGCCAGCGCTGACCCAGGCACCCGTAGCGATACCGATTGCCCATCCGAAATTGATCGAAAGAAACGACTACGAAACCTCTGAGAATCTCAAGGCATTACCAAGGGAGTTGGAGTACTTACACCTCGTTCGGAGGCTGAGACGCTTGGATTTGTCGAGAGGACAACCTGGCAAGCAGTCCCCGCGCCAAAGATAACCAAGAGTGCCACACCAACAAATTCGGCCATGACTTTGCGGATTGCACATTTGTGGTGAGAGATGGTTAACTTCATGATGAGACTGAGGAGATTGGAAAGCGGAGGTAGGAGTGCTTGACGCACTTGACTCAAACCTCATCTGTTATTTGGGGCTTTTCCAGAGTGGAGTCTATCAAGCGCTGGCATGTTCGCGATGTCAAACACTATCCACAACATGGGAGTTCCAATTCGTTCACGGACATGAAACCCATAATCCCGTGCAGAGGCGTATTCCATTACAAAGGTGTAATGCACGGATGACCAGTAAAACGCGCCACCTTCCCTACACGGTAATCATGTAAAAATTCTGAAGTGAGGCGCGACAAAGAAGCTTGCGTTCTAGAGTGATGCAAAGTTATATATTGCAGCGTAACCATCGCTCCGAAGACGGGGAGATGATATTTTTCCGCTCGATGATCCTTCTTATTTTTCGATCATGATTCCGAGAATAGACTTCGAGAGGACGAGCACACCTCCATGACAGCTGGCAACGTGGCCGAGATGAAATATTTTCGGTGCGCGAGAACGAAAAGATGTTGGCGTTGGATCATAGATGACGGAGAGAGCGTCACTTCAACCTTAAATGAACTTGGAGCCTCCAAAAACAACAAAGGCAAACAGGGTCGTTGGAGAGCACAAATCGAGTTCTGTCTTCATCAAGCTTTGCCTTACAGAGACGGGTTGGCATTATAAAGATACAAGAGATTCATCTTTGCCCAAAGCCTAGGCAAGTTGTTGGATTCCGAGCTTGTCAAGTAATCATCATCTCCGAGCTCTGAGTAGCTATTTTTGAGCCTACGCGGAGCAAACGCAAAGAGACATTTCAGTGACAATCGGGGGCAGTTTACCCAGTGCGCGATGGTGGCAAAGACGTCTCCTTGGTGGCCGCTTGACGAGTAGGGGGATGAAGATTCGATCAGGGAGATCGCATAAGACTGGAAGTACGGGCCACCCTCGCCATTGTCGTTCAGTTCGGGGATGGCGAAAATCCACGACACTCCGGTGGTCATCGCGCCACGAATGATTTTGTCATTACTGCGAGTCCGTCGGTGCGAATCTATGCCCTCAAGATAATTTGGTCACCCTACCTCCTTCGCACATGCCAACATTCCAAAGGCTGCTTGCGGAATGTGTCCTGAGAGCACCTCTGCCGTTGCGGGTCCCCTTACTTCTCAAGCGAAGAATGGGTGATCTTTTATCTTATGAAACCATTACCACTCAGAACTTCTCTACGGAAACGGTAATAATGAGTAAAAGCAACGGCGAAAAGACACAAACGGCAATTGTCACCTTACTTGCTATATCATTTAGAATAGTCGTAAAGCCAATAGAATTGAAAAGAGTTCGTAGAATGTGGTATTTATGCCGGCGGAGAGTTGGTGGTCCACATCTTTGTTAGCTCCCGGGTCAGGCGATGCTAAGAAGCGCGTCTAAGCACGGGCGGCTCGCAGCTATTGGCACTGAGAACAGACACACCAAATCTTGAACAAGCATACTCGCCTTTCTTGAAACATTCCCGTAGGAAACAAAGATGACTATGCCAGCAAAGATTGTGCCAAACTCCTGGAAAGCGGGATCCAATGACGTCCGGCGGTTAGATGGAGTTCACCCAGATAAAAGTTGGTCGTCCTGCGACGAGACTAGTTGAGCCTGTTTATCTTCAGTTTATCCCCTATCCACTTCCGGGTCAAGCATCGAATTCGGGTGATTATGTAAGCTACTGCACTTGAGTCAACTGCTCAACCGTTCCTCATCTCTCTCATCTCAAAAATGGCGCGCGGCAAACGCAAAGTTGACGTTGAAGTTGAAGGTGACGCTGTGGAAGGGTCAAGCACAGCTGAAATTGCAGAGCCTACGCCGAAACGAACGCGTCGAGTTATCAAGAAGAGCGTGGAGTCGGACCCTCCTGAACCTCGTGTCCAACGACCCCGGAGAGCTGCAGCAAAGAAAAACACTGGCGAGGCCACAACGCCTCCTGATGAACCACCGACGAAAAAAACTCGTGTGCGAAAATCAAAGGCTTCGCAGCCGCAACCAGACGCTGAAGCGGGGCCTAGCTCAGCCGCAGGCCCCAGCTCAAGCCAGGCTCCCCCGTCGAAGAAGAAGAAGGCACCTGCTTCATCTGCGCCGGAAGGCCGTGGTGCAACATTTTTGGCTAGCTGCCCGCAGAACATCCAGGATCGAGTGGGGAGGGTCATGACACAAAGGTGTGAAATATCTACCTCCTGTTCATGTTTCAGGTCTCGAATATTGAGTGATAGGTTCTTTATGATTGAAAGAAGAAGGAATGGTGACGAGTTACAAGAGGAGTTCAGCGTGCTTGGGTCAACCGGCAATGTCAGTTTGTCTTCTGCGGCTCTCTTACCTTCTGTCGTTCATAATCTACCAGGTTTATACGGTCACAATTGGGCGAAAACCCAAATGCAATTGCCCTGATACGATCAGGGGGAATCATTGCAAACATATTATGTTTGTTTTCTTGAAAGGTGATCTGGTTTGTTAAGTGTTCATTGACGCGTCTGATGTTGAATGGCTCTCAGTTCTACAAGTTCCACAAACTTCAAATCTATGGTACCAGAAGTAAGCTTTTGTTCCGATATCAGTGTGATATCTTTTATCGTAATCGAAGGGGTTTATTGACAAGCGAGCTCGAGACCATTTTCGCCAGGGCACCTCTTGCCCCGAACGACGTTACAAATCCTCGTCTACGGGAGGCGTACGACCGCGCTCTCGGCAGACCCTCAACTTCCACCGCCCCAGCCGCTGCCCCCGAGTCCCCCACCGGGAAGAAACGTATTCCCGGTCCAGAAGACGACTGCCCCATCTGTTACGATGGAATGGAAGGCGCCGCTGAGGCATCTCTCGTATTCTGTGACGAGTGTGGGAATGCATTGCATCAAGAGTGCTTTGAGCAGTGTAGGTTTTTCGAGTGTCACTTTTCCCTTTCACTGACTTTCATGATACAGGGCGCCAGACGAGCCAGAACAAGGGCAAGGAGTTGACTTGTGTTTGGTGTCGATCCCCCTGGGCTACTCCAGCTGTACGTCAGCCGAAGCCGACCTCTTCATCTCCTTCAAAAAGGAAGGGGCCCTATCTCAATCTCGGAATCATGTAACTATTTGCGTAGTCGTGGCACAATGTAATTTTCTCTTGATAAAGAGACAATCACGCCATTTAGTTTATTTCCCAAACCTCTCCCTTTCACTTTTGCCGGCGGTTGCGGAATATGGGTAAACCAAGGCTGTCCTAGATGTATTCCTTGTTCTTGTGCTGGTTGATGGACTGTTGTAGATTTTGGTATAAATGCCTTGCTGTCATCACTTTGTCATGTCTGAAGAATAAGATGGGATAAATCATAAAATCATAACACCTAAGATGTAGCAGCTGAGGTATATCTACATGCTACTACTAGTCTATGGAATTGCACAAACGTCATCGTCAAGTATCCGAACGTGTAGACAATATCTCCTTCGAGATAAGTATCCGGTTTGCCAGAGCTGTCAAATTTGCATCTGCCACAACAACTTCCGGTGCATAATCAACATTGAAGACTTGTTTGATGGCCGCACAAATCCTCTTCGCTTGATGTTCGGACCAGAAACTGAAGTCATCTGGGTCACGGTCCTCCAGCTCCACCTCAAGATCGGCCTGTCCATCTGGAGGCAGCTCGTGGAGATTGGTGGGGCTGGGTGTGGGTGATACTTTACAGGAGAAGGGGATCAAAGATGGGTCAGAATCCAAGCAAAGGGGTACGATGCGCATCAGAGAGTTTCGGACGGAGGAAAAGGTCATGTCAGAAGGCTTGTCAACTGTTGATGAAGCGTGAGTTTGTGAAACCTTGTGAGTTGAGAAGGAGACCGACCAAAGATTTCCAAAGGTCCATCCATACTCATGACGTTGTATTTCCCATCATGGTGATAACGGACCTGTAAGAAGGGTTTCAGTCGCTATGACTGCACATGCGGTTAAGTTGTCACCTCGTAATGCCCAACCAACCAAGGTAGTGTATTCCCTTTGAAGGTAACTACACCATTTTCTGACTCCAAGTGCTTGCTCGGGACCCTCTTCAATCCCAAAGGCACATCGCCATCCCATTCCTCGCCATGAACAGGAAGCCACATCCCCATTGAAGATGTTTTGGTGACAGTGTTCGATTTATTGGCCCCGACCTAAGTAGCAAGATGAGGAAGATAGAAATAACTCGGAAGGAATGAAAACCTACCCTGTAAAGTCCAATCCAATCCTTGCGCGAGTGCTTGTGAGGAGCTTGCCATTTGATGGTTATGGGTTCACCAAGATGGAAAGTGCGTTCGCCAGTTAAAGAGCTTGGGGAGATGGATACATGGTACTTGGATGAGTCATAAGCAGATATGTCGTTGGACACACGCCTGCACGTCAATGAAAGCGTAAGTATACAAAATGAAAAACGATGATAGACCGCGCACGTGATGACCAATCTCTCCCTAGATTGCTGCAGCAGCACCTTGGTCTCCTGCACAACTTCTGAAATTCTTGGGCCAGCTGAATGATCTTTACAATGAGAAGATCGTCATGCAACAAATTTCACAGCTGCGCTCACACTTTGCGAGGAAGTCTTCAACAGCATCAGCCGTCTCCTCGAATACTTTGTCAAAGGTTCCTTTGACTTCCCTCGCAACCCGCTTGAGCTCGGGAGCGTGCTTTCCAGCACGAGACTCTAGTATGCGTACGTTCTTGCTCGCGACGTTTTTGATGACTTTGACAAATCCTGCATCCTTACGAAGGGAGTCTCCATAGAGTTTCCGCATATGCGGGCTAAGACCACATCAGAAAACGTGACCAAAGGTAGCACAAGACGCACTTTTCCACACTGCTCAAGAACCACCAGTTGGCGAGATGCCGAATGACCGCAAGGGAGAGAACCAATTTGCTCCCGCTGATGAGTGCCAAACCAAACCATGCTGCACCCCCCATTGCCTCGGGGTTGTTCAAATATCTAGGGATGTCAAGTTGGTGTCGAGATTGCTAAGTTGAATGCACTAACCGGTATATTCCTGTGTACTCTAGATGCGTGGGGAACTCCTCCATGAAGAAATCGCCGAAGAACCATCCTGAAGTATCATTAGCACTCCCTTCTCTGAACATCAACGTTAGCAAGTACCGAATACTCCAAGAACCTCAAACGACTCCATGGAAGCCCAGACGTGCAAGCCAACGAGAAGCTAGTAAATTGTTCAGTAAGAAATCCTTCTATTGAGGGGATAATGTGACGCACAGCACCCAAAGTGTGGCGGAGAAGTTCATTGCCGACAGTCCAATCATGTGGCAAAGAGTATGACTTCCATACAACGCCTACACAGGACACTAAGGGAACGCATGACTGAGTGCTACCATGAGACAGTGACAGGAACAAACCATATGTCATGCACATGCTCAAATTGTAAATTGCCTTCCAGTTGGTGAACGCTTCAACGATTGCCCCGCCTCCACCGTCATTTTGCGAGTAATGATAGTTCTTCATGAAATGCCGAACCAAGAATTTCGTCTTACTCTGGGCTTGAAGTATCAACCCCAGACCAACGTAGTGGATCATGCACCATGCGAGCGCATGCAAGAAGTGAAGTGCAAGCATGGTACGGGCAGAAAGGGTGGGTAGGAAAGAGATCATCAAGGCGTAGGCAATTATCAAAACGAGCATCGCATCGGTCGATCTGGTCAACCAAATCAGCGGAAACCGAGAGTTGAGCCACAACGAGATTTACCGAAGCAGGTCCAGGTTACGCAAAACAACAACATCCCGTCGGAAATATTTGTTCAAAAGATCGTGCTGCGACGTTGCGGATTTCCTTGGAGAGCTAATCAAGCTTCTTGTATTAGGATCCATTTCAATGTCGCCGTTAGAGCTGGCATTAGATGGTTGAGATACATGTCTGGAGATTTTCTTGTAAGAAGCTGCAACAGCTCTTGTGTTCGGACCCATATCAACATCGCCGTTGAAGCTGGCATTAGATAGTTGAGACACATGTCCCGACATCTTGGTGAAAGGAGTTGCAGATTTCGCATTAGACGAGTTAGTATTAGCGGTTGTAGGAACGATTTCCTCCTCAACCTCCGTCTCGAGATCCGTTTCTGTGGCGGTATCGCCCTCAGTCGCTGCGGGAGTCACTAGTTCAAGCTCAGCAGGAGTGGCTATAGCTGATGGGATGCTGCTTGAGCTAGCAGTGCTGTTTGCATGTTTGCGCATGGTAGATGGGAACAACGGGGTGCGCTTCGCAATAGCCTTAGGTTTGCCATACATGCGTTTAATATCTGGTGACGATATTATGAATATAGTACGATGGTTGGCAGGAAGCGCACTCACGTGGATTTTCAAAGAAGACGAGGAATGCGAACTGCGCAGCGTGCGCCGCCAGGCTAACAAACAGGACGGCATAGCTCCCAGCAATAAGCGACAGGCCGTAGTACCCAGCGTACCCTGCAAGGCAAGAAAATAAGAGAACTGCTAAGAATATGGAAATCCTTCCGCTTACCGACGGAATACATGGGGTGCGGTGCAAGCTCAAAAACACCATCAAAGACCAAATTGCCGCGTTGGAAGAATACGTCACCCCAATACCAGCCGTAATCTTTTACGACGTTGTGCGCCTCCGTCTTGACCCAAAGATTGAATGCGATAAGAAGGAAACCACCCAACCATCTACGGAGAATTAGAAGTGCAAGCTTAAAAGATAATCTAAATTTACCTCATTATATGCACCACGACGGAGAGGCCCTCGGGCACACGGAAGCAGGAGAACGCAAACATGCAATACGATAAGAAATCACTTTTTGAAGTCAGCATCGTTTATATGCTGCTATGATGAAACCCACTTGACGAGAATGACATCCACAGCTTGACGAAACAGCAGCCAAGTGTTGTATTCCAAAGGGAGATCCTGGAATAGTGGTCGTAAGACCACTTCATCCCTGAAAAATGAATCACTTACATCGAAGGAATAGTCCTTTCCCATTTTGTCGGCAAGTTGTTTCCGTATCCAGTTCCTCACGGCAGGGCGACGCTTTTCATCCAGCCATCCAAGCCTCTGGACCTCCCTAACAATCCACTTTTTCTTGCTCTGCTTGGTAAGGACCCAGCCAAGACCGGCATCATACGCACCGCGCCAGAACGCAAAGTAGAAGAGGAAAAAAATCTGGCTAGCCCTTCGTGGCAAGATGAAGAATAGAACGAGTTGGAATCCGAGCAAAGTAAGGTTGAGGAGGTCAAGGTGACTTTTCTTGTAACGGGGGTTGAAAAGGGTCGTGATCACATCATGTGTCGTTGGTACTCGAAAAACTTTTGCACGCAAGTCAGAATAGTTGGATACCATAGATATTTTCACCAACCTTCGCCGCCCGGTGTTTTGCCCCATACAACATCCTGTTTGGTAGGTTCTGGCGTATTGTGTAGTTCGCTTTCCGTTTCATCATTTGCTTGTGGCTTGCGCTGACGCAGGAAGCTCTGCGAACTGGTCATAATCTTGGTAGCCTCTACGCTTTGACGGGGGAGAAGAAAAGAAGAAAAAACACGAGGGTAAGGCGAAAACTTTGAATTGCCCCTGAGTTCCGTGGCAGCACGCGATTTGGTTGACACGTATCTACATACGTAAATCATCATCACCAAGATCATCATCTCCGAGTCCAGCTCCTACGCTCCAATTCCTCCCCGAGGCCCCCCATTCTCTGGAAGCAGAATGCCACCAGGTTCAACCCGCACCTATATTCTTGACGACCTTGGAGAACTTTGAGCAAACTTTGAGTTAGAACTTGGATCATGAGCCAAGATTCAAAAATTAAGTGACTTTCTGCGAAATCTCTTCCCTTGCCCTATCTGTGGGTCCCAGATGTCTGGTCGTGCAGTTGCGGTGTTACTATATGCCTTTGTCTTGTGCTCTCCACATTTCCGCGGCCATGGGATTTGGGTGTGGCCCACCAAACTTCTTTTTTGGACTACTCTATCTTCGGGGCTAAGCGCTTTGGTCCAATTAGGATTGACAAGAGGGGATTGAAGGCCCTAGTATAACTCGAGCAACATCCACACCGCACAGTCTAGGCATCCTGATCCCCGCCGTTAACACACCCTCAGAGATCTTTGCCTTGCCTGAACACACCTGTGGCTTCCTCGCCTGCATATCTGGTTGAGGAGGGTGATATTTCAGAATCGCCTTGATGACGGTATCTGCTTTGAACCCTCCCTCCTTGATGCAGGTACTGATCCCCAAGTTGATTATCGAGACCATCACGTCTTCATGGCTCTCTAACTCCTGTTCTGTGGAGATCTTATCTCTCATTCTATGATATCTCTTTCCTCGTTTAGATTACAGTAGCGACTTCCTTGCCTTCCACGATCGCATATGAACAGTATCGTCCAGTTGTCGGAAGCGACAACCGATCTGCCTTCATACCAGCACAGAAAGTCTGGTCCCCATTCTCTTCGGAATCGGAAGACCTCTACTTGGCAAATGTGTTCCGATTGCCGAAGTAGTCCATGGGCACCTCATCGTCATCTATTACTTCATTCATCTTAACCTCCCCAATAGGTCGCCTTGTTAACGTTATAGGCCCTTATCGTGAGTTGCCTGGTGGAGCGCTTGGTGTGCTCTTCTGGTTGCAGCGTCTACTCGCATATGACAGGAACCCACATACACACGTGAACCGTACAACACATAAAAAATTCACTTGTATCATGGTCTGTCTACGAGAGACTAACCTCAAGGTTCAAATAACATGTGGTCCTCCATCAACACAAATTTAGCGACGATCTCCGGTTAGACCAGAACAAGCAAGTTTTTTTCTGCTCTGCAAGTCTTGTGACGCGGATGGAGTTAACACTCGGCTCATAATCGGCTAGGAACTGAAGCTTACTAGCGTCCCGCTGCCTTTTTGTGACGAGATGTCTTTTAAAGTTGTGGAATGGCAGAAACGCGGCCAGTGTCTTGATATGCTTTCGGTGTTGTTAACATCGTTGAAACTAACTCTGAGTCTATCTGTGTGAGGTGCTAGCTCCTCATAAAATAAGATAACTGAGAAACACACTGGCGATTGAAAGATCTCGTCAGATTGCTAAAGGGAAGATTCAAACAGTTGAAAATGGTTGGGAATGGTGAATAGATTGGCGGGCTGGTGCGGCCAAAGTCTTCTCACCCCAGATTTCCGGATCGACTGCCATATCGGGGAGAGAGATCTCCGTTGACCTTTATTCTGGTCCTAGAAAGACTGGCGCCCACAACCGGGAGTTTGACCCCCACCACGAAGTCGTTACTCTTGGTGCCCTTCTCCCATCGCGGGCGCAAAATCCACCCTCCTCTCCCGGATTGTGATATTCGACAATATATGAGCACTCGAAGCAAGAACTGATCCTTCGTTTGTGATGTTTACTACTCACCCCCAAGGGAGGTCTTACCGGTCCTCAGTCCCTCACCATCATCTTCGACAGCCGGAAATACAGAATTCATATGACCAGCATGCCAATAATCCTCCGAGGCAGACGAGACGTCGTCCCCTGGCAGATATGATCGGCCATCCAATACATTTTCTGACTGGTCAGTTCGCGGGCCAAACCATCCGGGCTGAACTAGACGAGATACAAAAAGCCGATCTGGGGCGCAAGTGAGCAATATCATCCAGCCGTCGACGTCTTGAGAAATCCTGTCATAATATTTCAGGTATGCGCGTGTAGACCGGAGGCCTCTAGACCCACCGCCCGTGGTACGTTTGCGCTACTTCGACATTCGAGAAGACGACGTCGACCAAGAACGCGGCACCGAGATTAAGAATTACGAGTATATTTCTTCTATTGATTTCCTTGACGAAGATGCGACTTATATATCTTTCCAGCGAAATCCAAACCATTGGTCTTATGTCCACAGTGGATTTATTCCCTGTCCCGAATGAAAGCTGGACGTCGAGATCTCCGACACAAACTTCGTTTTCCTCCTCTTCCCCTACGCTTTCGAATGGAAATGAGAATTTCATGTTTTCTTCACCGCAGACGAGCTCGCCCACTGCAGCTCAATCACAGGCATCGACTCCCAATTCTCCAAGCTCCAATGATATTATACACTATGTCGGGAACCATGCCATCACGGAAAGTTCAAAGGTGACTTCGTCCTTGGTTGGTGCAACATTTGTCCAACCTGCAATAGTGGATTATGAAGGGAAGAAAACGATAATATTTGTATTTTCTGTGAGAACATTGCCGCTTAATATAAGGTGCCACTCAAAGTGTCATCCTCCAGGACCTAGCTGTTAAAATTGAAGGGACATTCCTTCTTCGATACCGTGTTTTTGATATATATTCAAGACCCCGTGATAGAGAGGATTTGTTGGTGCAAGCGGAATGTTATGGCGGACCATTTCGTGTTTATTCCACTAAAGAGTTCCCTGGGTTACAGGCTTCCACCGATCTGACAAAGGTGGGGTGAGCACAGGTCAATTCAGGGGCAACTTACTGAACTACTCTTCTAGCACCTTGCACGATGGGGGGTACGTTTGAATATCCGTGAAACCGAACGGAAGCGGAGAAAGAAGGGTGAAATTGGTAGTCCTCTGGACGATCCAAAATCCAAACGAAAGAGGACTTCACTGGGAAGTGAAGACGACGAAGCAAGCGACGAGGATTGATTCCATTTGATATGATTCTGACACTTGGAAAATTGGAAGGACACATCACCCACGGAGATTACGAGTCACTATACACGCAAGACTCAACGGGAGGATTTTAATTGCATACTTGGATTTCGAATATTTTATGCCCTGATAAACTGACATTCCGCTGTAGGTTACTGTCTAGATGTTTTCAATACTGATACCACTTCGTCTGCTCGTTCTACAGTCAATGACGTGATGCCTTTCTGCCGACATAAATTGTGAGTAAGTATTGGGCGCTTTGCAACAATTAGAGCCGCACCGTTTTCAGTCACGCAGCCTGCAAGCCCCTGAGCACCGTTTTTGAAATTGTTGTAAGAGTGTCCCCGGAACACGGCGGAACTTGCGTGGGACTTCCAGGAATCTGGAAACCTTCGGGTGGGTATCATGGTAAATTGGAGCACATCCCTCTCGCTTCAAGGCCAGGTTCGATTGTGACTTCAGCGTATTCGTACATGGTGGACAAAGAAGTTACGCGCCAGCGCTTTGACTTTGAAGTTTGAAGGTTGAGTCGATCCGGCTGAATCCGACTTTCACCACGGCAATGATTGATTGATCATTGATGGCCCGAGCCAGAGTTGCCTCGACCCGCCATACTTATAAGTATGTCAAGCCCCCAAATTGAACCAACCCACAGCTAATTGGCTACCAGAAACAACTCCTGGGTTGCTGTAGTCTACTTTCCACATCAGTAGTTTAACAAATAGCTTTTTTCCGCTTGCACAAGGGAAAAAAGCGGCAAAAAGGGACAAAAGTAGCAGGTCAAAAAAGCTGCGTGGCTAATCCAAAAAAGCTGGCTACGTTTTGTGTTATTCAAAGACCAGAAAAAGCAAAAAACTATGAAAAAGCGAAATGTGTATCTACAAGTAACACTAACAATACTATCTGTACAAATCCCACCACACAAATCTTTCAGGTCAACTAGCAAATCTCCTGCTAGAAAACGGAAGACTCAGAAGCATAAACAGACAGGAAAGGGGGAGGAAACAGTACCTTCAGCCTGGATCCAGAACCCAACACCAAGAACCGGCCAATGCGCTCAAACAACATCGTCACCAGAGGGTTAAAGCATTTCAATTTGATTGAAGGCGGGACTTGGGGCAGGACGTGCCGATGGACATAGGTCGCATGAATGTGGTGGACGTGGCAGACTCATGTTTGTAGTTGCTATTACATAATAGCAGGTGGCTATGTGCTTATGTTATAGCAGGTGGCTATGCATGTGCTTATGTTATAGCAGGTGGCTATGTTTCTGCTTATGTGATAGCAACTGGCTCCCTTTGAAAACCATACTTCTGCCCTCTCTGCAGCCTTCCACCACATTTTTACACCACATAAAGTCGAAAACACATTGAGATTATTACACAAATATTAGTTATTACCAAATTTCCAACAAATTTCTATCCATTTTACTGTTTAAACTGATGAATCAGTTGAAATCAAAATTCTGAATTGCTGAATTTTGGACATACTACTCTCCTTTCAATATAGCTGGTGGTTTCTTGTATTTTTTCATGCTTGAATGGCTGTATTATTATCTGGTAGATGGGGGCTCTGATTAATGTGATAGTTTACAAAGCTTATGCATGAGTGAGCAGCCAGCATTTAATCAAGATCCTGACTGGAAAAAATTGCATGGAATGGTAGTCATGCAAAGGGAGATGAAAAAGATATTTTTGCAGTCTCTGACTTACAAAAATTTATAGCTCTCATGTTCTACTTTCACACAATGAAAACTATCATAAATTATCACATCACAATCTCATAGACAAAACCAGAATATGTTGTAGGTGCAAAGATAAACAATCTTGCTCAATCAAAAATAGACCAAAATCAAAGTGAAAGTGCCTCACATACATGTACACCCCCAGCAGGCAAAATATTGATTCCTGTAAGCCAAATTCTTGAAAATACTGCTGCTAGCCCATCATAAATTACTGTTTTGTTAACCATTTAAAAGACCTGCACAATATGTCCTAGCAATTTCAGCACCCCAATTACCTCCAAAGAAAATCAGAGCAGAAAGAAAATGCTGGAAATGCTGTACATCGAGGGCAGTAGGGCAAAGAGATGCTGCAAAAAGCCATATGATGACTGCAACAGAGTAGATTGTGATAGAAGAGATAGCTGGCAGCCTACAAGGCCCTGTCAGAACAAAACTGATGGCCCAGATGCAGGTGGAGATGGAAGGATGGGTCTGTAGCTTGCAGTTCATGCATGAAAGATAAGATAAGATAAGAAATATTCTCTTTTTTTTGCTTTTTTCCTCTTTTTATTTTATTTTATTTTATTTTATTTTATCTGGTAGCAGCTACAAACATGGCCACCCTGCCGGACGTGGAGGTTGAAGCAGGTGGCGTGATCAAATGTTCGACGTTCAACTGTTACCATCATGTCGGAGTCTGAAAATCAACAACACCACCACACCATGTCACCACCTCTTTCTCTCTGTCTTCGACACCACAACTAACACCAACCAGGTGTTAGGATGTGGGCAGACTACATTATGGACATCAACTTACTATGTGAACCCTTATATAGATCACCACTTGTAGTCAACTTGTAGTCTAAGGTTATTGACTGGTAGTTAGCTTTTTCACTTTTAAGCCTTTGACTTTTTGCAAAACCCAGAAAAAGTTGAAAAGTGTTGAAAAGGGAAAAAGTAAAATGCTAACTTGCTGATGCACCCCCCACTGCATCTTTAAGGGCCTGAGGCATAACACTGGGTAGGGAATGTCACGGGTTTACAAACCCATATGGGTTGAGGTCGCAGGTGGGTATGGGTACGGGTACAGGTTGGCATTTTCGTACCCCAGCAAAACCCGTACCCGTGACACGGGTGTGATGGGTGTGACATGTCAATCACGAATGCGTCACCTTCACCACGACACTCAACCACCACCACCATACCCTCCAGCACAGTTACCAGACAGCGTGGCACGGCAACAACAATGCAAAAGACTTGGATATGTTGGTCAGTAGTAGTGACACACAGACCACAGCAACCACAACAACGATGAGTCAAACACGATGGAATATGGGGGGGATAGACACAAACAGAGGGCGGGCTTACAAGGTGCGCCTGTGAAGTTCTCTTTTCTTTTCGTTTCCTGACTATTACAACAGCACCACGATGACGGCACCTGCCAATGGACCCCACCTCACAGATCAACGCCAACGCGGTCACATGCAGTTGCTCACCACCAACCACAACACGATACCGTCAAAACACTGGCGCATGCCCTGTGCCCCAGTTACCAACAACGATGAGTCAAACACGATGGAATATGGGGGGGATAGACACAACCAGAGGGCGGGCTTACAAGGTGCACCTGTGAAGTTTTCTTTTCTTTTCGTCTACTGACTATCACAACAGCACAACGACGATGACACCTGCCAATGGACCCCACCTCGCAGGTCAACGCCAACACAGTCATATGCAGTTGCTCACCACCACACAACATGATGCCATCAAAACACTGGCACATACCCTGTGCCCCAGTTACCATTTCCTGACTTTCCGATCCTCGCAGGGTTGCACGGCAGTATCGATTGACACTTGCACTGCCTTTGTGAGGTTCATTGGTCGTTTCTGGAGGGATACCTGCACATGGGTTGGGAACCCCCAGGTTTTTGTAAACCCTTGACCCGTACCCGTGAAAACCCACACCCGTGGATGCAGGTAGGGGTTTTGACGGGTACGGGTGCGGGTTACTCTGGAAAACCCCAGGGTAGCCCGTGACATTCCCTAATGCTGGGGAGAGGCTCGCACTGTTTGATCCAAGCTTGATCATTCAATTCAACATGGTACAAACTCCTTGAAAGTAAGTAGGTCATCACTGGATGACTTCCCATAAGGTTTAGAAACCTAGATTATTTTTCTAAACTGACATGCCGCCATGCCGATTGCCAAATGGGACACAATCTGTCAAGATTAAACTCCACTTGTCATTGAGCACCCTCTTCTAGATGAAAATCTAGACGAAGCCTCTGACCCCCCCTTCTAGTTCTAAATCACTTGAATAAACCCTTTTTTCATTGTCTGACGATCAAGCCCTGAGCATCGCATCCGTATCAGGTAACACATTGAGATACACCAACATATGTAGTAGGCCTTCTATAGAACTATACACTTGATTTTTTGTATTTTCCTCAAGAAATAGTATCTAAGGAATAAACAGTTACTGTAATGATGATTAAGTCATTTTCTTTCAAAATCCATTGTGGACGAAGTTTTGTAAGATTGCAGTGTGTTCACACGCGTCGCTCTCCTTCAAACGACAGATTTGGGCTGCCAAATTGTACACAACCATTGTCTATGCATTAAAGGCCACTTCTCTTTGTGTGATTCTGTGCCAATTAAAGCTGGAGGTGCAGTGGAAAAGGAATGAGCTCAAGTGGGGAGATCCCGAACAAGATCTGCTTCCACAGAAGAAAAATTGTGTGGTTTTGTATTTATGGTTTAGAAAGCTGGCTGAATATATTTTCGAACCCCACCCATCAAACATTTAGAAGATAATCTAGGTTCCTAGCAGGCTCCAAAATGCAGCCACTTGTATTGCTCGATGAGTCTCTACATACTATTAGTGGTATGACAAATATTATGATGTGATCATTGATGGGAGTGAACAAATAAACAAAACTAAGGACTCAAGCTTGCGATAGAGAGGCTGCCAGAAAGGTTGTGCAGGCAGCTTGGACATCAATGATTAACCCTAACATTGGGTCCCATTGCGCCAAGGAACCCTGGCATGTCACATTTCGGTCACCAACACTATTTTGGGAAAAAATACCCAGTCCAGAAAATCTACAGCCAGTGCCATGAGTGCATCATCTACGCCGTCTTCAACTAGCAACCCTAATCTAAGTGCAGCTACACCTCGAGAATGGACTGTCCAAGAGATCCGCAACCTTGTACAGGAAAAATTCAGAAAGCGCCCTTGCTGGTACCAGGTCAAGACCACCCTTGCATTATATGCTGGCAAAGATGTTATAGGATGTGTGCCAATGGGAGCCGGGAAAACACTGTCATTCTGGATACCCCTGCTTATGGCCCAAGAAGATGGCCATGATGTGATGACCATTGTCGTCACTCCACTCAACTTACTGGGAAAACAAAACAAGGTGTTGTTGGTGCATCCTCAAAGGCATTTAAGATACATTTTATGTTGTCAAGGAATTGTAGGTTGGCCATTGGTAGTTAGATATGTTTTCACTACAACAAAAGGGCTTTTATAGCCTGCACATGCATACATATTGAAATTGACATGACATTACACATTGGAGTATGATGACTATGCTATGGTGGCATACTACGGCACAGTTCTGTACTACCTATGTGTTCCGTAGTCTCTCCCAAGTCTCTCCTCTACTGCCACTAAGTCCAAACCGGCCCATACAAGGGCCTGTCACGCAGGCCCAGAAAGGCTTGACAATGGGACCCAATGTTAGGGTTAATCATTGATGTCCAAGCTGCCTGCACAACCTTTCCAGCAGCCTCTCTATTGCAAGCTCGAGTCCTTAGTTTTGTTTATTTGTTCACTCCCATCAATGATCACATTGTAATATTTGTCATACCACTAATAGTATGTAGAGACTCATCGAGTGATATGAGTGGCTGCATTTTGGAGCCTGGGTTCCTAGACTCTATGGGAAGTCATCCACTGTGCGACTACAGTCATCCACCCCCTAATGATACACCACCCCCATTTGATACACTTTTGGCTGGCTAATATGTTACCCAATACTGCACCGATCTTTACGAAACAAATTGAAACAGGTAGTAAAAGCTCATATCTACCACTGTACAAAATCTGGAGACAATTGAGGCAGCAGTGACAATGCTGTGGAGTTTTCAAAATGGACTGTTTTCGGGAAATGGCCGAAATACAGTCACACCCCTCAATGATACACCCTTAATTTTGGTTTTTCTTCGTCAAATGCTGTTCAAACACTCTAAAATTTTGTACAGTTATAGAAGGGCATTTATCTAAGATTTTCATGTAGTTTTCGTGGTGAAAGGTTGTGCTCAGATTTGTTGAAGCTAATTTCTCAATTTCAGTGTATCATTAGCAGGTGAATGACTGTACCTCAATTCTGTTATTGAAGACATCTACTGATCTCACTGTTGTATCTAGCCATAATCCTGCTTCGAACTTTTTTGTGCTGTACTCAAGACGTCCTTCCAGTCTCGATACTCTGAATAACACTGGCAGTACGACGTCCTTCAAAACTTACTCCTAGTGTCTAGAGACTGGTGGTTTTGTAGTCTTCCTATATGAACTTTCTCGGGTTTTCACTGGCATTGATGGCCGGGTCCATCACGCCGACCCAGAGTGTCTGGACCCGCCGCCCACAACCAATCGGCTTCTAACAGCCTACATACCTTCCAACCCAATTCAGCATGGGTCGTCACGACTGTGCGGATACTTCATTTCTGTTAAAGGACCTCTACTGATCTCACTGTTGTGTCTAGCCATGATCCTGCACTTCGTATTTTTCTGTACTCGAGACGTCCTTCCAAGTCTCGATACTCTGAATTCTAGTGTCAAGACATCAGTGGCTTTGCAGTCTACCTTCACGGCAAGAACACCTCGGGCCCGGCGATTCTGCTTGATTCGAGGCTACCGGCGCAGCAGGGCGTAGAGGGCGTGGACTTGGCTCAGTTATTTCTGGCGAGAAGCGCATCTAAGAGGTTCTCCGCAGTCAGCGCCCGGTTAGCGCTGCTACTTGGAGTCTTGGGCCCGATCGTTGAATAGACCGCCCTATCGGCGCACGCCATCGCTGAAGAGCTGGCTTCTTGCTTTCTTGCCCTCTATGTGTCTTCTTCGCCCCTTTATGCTCATTATTTATCGGCTTGTTATCGGTGCCGCCGTGAGGCTGGCTTTCGAGTTTTGTTGCGTTTCTTGATCCCGTTCTAATGTTTTTAAAATCCATGCTGTCGTAACAGAATAGGCGTATTTTTATTCGACGGGATCGAAACTCAAGCGAGTTGTGTTCGCTAGAAGCTGTGCGCAGACTCATATTAATTCGTCGGAGTTCTCCTTCATCTTGCTGTCAAAAGTATCTAACTATATCTTCAGGCGATATGCTTGTTTCGAACATTGTAACTTCACAATCCAGACTCAGTGCATGCATGACTCAGCAAAACATGTCGTATGCCTTGCTATCGAGCGCTACCGGACATGACATTGAATCACCGTTCCAGAGACTATCTGGTAAGTGGCGGTATATAGCACAGATAAGCCTGTCCTCGTTTGACTACACGTGGATGCTATTTAGGGAGCTATGGATAGTCACTATCTTCGAGACTCGAGAATACGGAACTTCATTATAATGCTCATGATGAAGCACATCAAGCCCATGTTGAATTTATTTACTTAAAATTCAAACAGCATGGGCACTGGTACTTAGTCACCGTGAATTTGTTGAGTTTAGGGGATAAATTACCGAAAGTGGCAGTGTGGGAAGGAGCGTCATTTTCAGTGTGTTGTGTGTGTGGCAGCCACTGTATTCCTCCAAACAACCGCCAACTCCGCTTCCCCTCTTCTCTGGGCTCCTTCTCCTCTCCTCAACCCCAGACCCATGCCTGCCCGCCCAGGGCCCTCCAGCCAGGAAGGCTACCCTTCGTCGCCCCCGTCAGCCGACACCCACTCCAACGACCCCTTCAACCAGGGAAGGCGCTACTACGACAACGAGTCCGACCATGTAGAGTTCGGTCGTCGCGAGTATAGGGAGACGTACGCCTCAGACAGCAGCAATCCTGCAATCAATGATTACGACAACAACGGCAACTATGACTATCGTCAGCCTCCCTTTTTTAGTTATCTATCGTGTCTCATTTTAGTCCAACAGCCATGCAAGATACCGACTCTGATCCTGACGTCTATGCACGGCCAGCACCGTCATCCGAATCGCTAGGCCCTCCAGGAGTCCGTAGTGTCTATCCCGAATCAGCCACGCCGACCTATATGGAATACGCAGGCCCGGCCGGCGCTCGAGAAGCATACCCTGCGTGGAGCTCAGATCGTCAAATCCCTCTTTCAAAAGAAGAAATCGAGGACATTTTTCTTGACCTCACGCAAAAATTTGGGTTTCAGCGAGATTCCATGCGAAATATGGTGCGTCGAGTGTCTTATTCTTTGTCTTGGTCCGGTTCTGTTTGCCTAGACAACCAAGTGTTTCTCGGCTTGACGTCTTTGAGGAAGAGTTTAATTATAGACTGCCCTCACTGTTCCATCAACGATACTAATACGTGCCATATAGTTCGATTTCCTAATGCAGCTACTCGACAGCAGGGCATCTCGGATGTCGCCTAATCAAGCACTACTGACGCTCCATGCCGATTACATTGGCGGTCACCACGCCAATTATCGCAAGTGGTATTTTGCCGCTCAGCTCGATCTTGACGACGCCATCGGCCAAACGCAGAATCCGGGCTTAAACCGGCTCAAGTCAAAACGTGGTGCCAAGCGTCCACCCCACGAAAAGTCACTAGCAACTGCCCTTGAACGATGGCGGCAAGCTATGAACAACATGAGCCAATACGATCGCCTTCGCCAAATTGCTCTCTATCTTTTGTGCTGGGGGGAGGCTGCACAAGTACGGTTCGTGCCCGAGTGCCTTTGTTTCATCTTCAAATGTGCGGATGACTACTATCGGTCTCCCGAGTGCCAAAATCGTGTCGAGCCTGTTCCCGAGGGTCTTTATCTCAGGGCGGTTACAAAACCACTCTATCGTTTCATTCGTGATCAAGGCTACGAGGTCGTCGATGGGAAGTTTGTGAGAAGGGAGAGGGATCATGAGAACATCATTGGCTACGATGATGTTAATCAGCTGTTTTGGTATCCGGAGGGTATTGCGAGGATTGTGTTGAACGACAAGGTCAGATTCTCCAAAACATCATATTCAATGCTTCTTCTCATTCTCGATCTAGACGCGCCTTGTTGATCTTCCACCGGCACAACGCTTCATGAAGTTCGATCGCATTGATTGGAATAAAGCCTTCTTCAAGACCTATTACGAAAAGCGCACTTTCGGTCATCTCCTGGTCAACTTCAATCGCATCTGGGTCATCCATATTGCCATGTACTACTTCTACACTGCCTTCAACTCACCCACCATCTACGCCGTTGATGGGCACTCGTCACCGGCCATGACATGGAGCGCTACTGCCCTGGGTGGTGCTGTTGCAACTCTGATTATGATTCTCGCCACACTCTTTGAATTTTCGTACATCCCCACGACTTGGAACAACACCTCACATCTCACCCGACGCCTTGTTTTCTTGCTGATCACTCTTGGTCTTACCTGTGGCCCAACGTTCTACATTGCCATTGTGGAACATAATGGCACAGGTGGTTCGCTTTCCCTCATCTTGGGCATCGTTCAATTTTTCATTTCTGTCGTCGCAACTGTCCTCTTCGCCGTCATGCCATCAGGTCGCATGTTTGGTGACCGGGTGGCAGGTAAATCACGAAAGTACCTCGCCAGTCAGACCTTCACTGCAAGCTACCCTGCACTTGAGAAGAAAAATCGCATTGGCTCCATCGTCCTATGGATTCTCGTCTTTGGATGCAAGTTCACAGAGTCTTACTTCTACCTTACCCTATCATTCAGTGACCCTATCCGTGTTATGGTCGGGATGAAGATTCAAGGATGTCAGGACAGATTCTTTGGAAACGCCCTCTGCACCAACCAAGCTGCCTTCACGCTGACGATAATGTATATCATGGATTTGGTTCTCTTCTTCCTAGATACCTTCCTTTGGTACATCATCTGGAATACGGTTTTCAGTATCGCCCGTTCTTTCACGTTGGGTCTATCCATTTGGACCCCATGGAGGGACATATACACCCGGTTACCCAAAAGGATCTATGCAAAATTGCTGGCCACAGGCGACATGGAGGTGAAGTACAAGCCGAAGGTGAGTTTGCACCTGTCTTTCGACTCCACGTTTCTCGAATGTTTCTCCTTTCTTTCAGGTCCTCGTCTCGCAAATTTGGAACGCTATCATCATCTCCATGTACCGTGAGCATCTCCTGTCCATCGACCACGTCCAGAAATTGCTCTACCATCAAGTTGATACTGGTGCCGGTGGTCGACGAAGTCTTCGTGCCCCTCCGTTCTTCATCTCGCAGGGTGAGAAGGGCTTCAAAGGGGAGTTTTTCCCGCCGGGCAGTGAGGCTGAGCGTCGGATTTCGTTCTTTGCTCAATCCTTGACAACATCCATCCCGGAACCCCTTCCTATCGATGCCATGCCCACTTTCACCGTCTTGACACCCCATTACAGTGAGAAGGTATGCCCGTCATCTCGCTGTCTCTGAGAGTATGCTTTCTGATGTCTCCTTTTTCAGACCCTTCTCTCACTTCGTGAAATCATTCGTGAAGAAGATCAGAATACCCGTGTTACTCTGTTGGAATACCTAAAGCAGCTTCATCCGGTTGAATGGGAGAATTTCGTCAAGGATACCATGATTCTTGCTGAGGAGTCCGCCATGTTCAACGGCGTTAACCCATTCGCAAACGATGAGAAGGGCCAATCAAAAGCAAACGATCTTCCTTTCTATTTCATCGGCTTCAAAAGCGCTGCCCCCGAATTTACCCTTCGTACTCGTATCTGGGCTTCCCTTCGTGCCCAGACACTTTATCGCACCGTCTCCGGTATGATGAACTACTCCAAGGCTATCAAGCTGCTGTACCGTGTCGAGAATCCAGAGGTGGTCCAGTTGTTCGGAGGCAACACCGACAAGCTTGAACGGGAACTGGAGCGCATGGCCAGGAGAAAATTCAAGTTTGTGGTCTCAATGCAACGGTACTCGAAATTCAACAAGGAGGAGCACGAGAATGCCGAGTTCTTATTGCGAGCATACCCCGACCTACAGATCGCTTTCCTTGAGGAAGAGCCTCCCCGCAAGGAGGGTGGCGACCCCAGGATCTTTTCGTCGCTCATTGACGGTCACAGCGAGTCTATCCCCGAGACTGGTCGTCGCAGACCCAAGTTCCGCATCGAGCTCCCTGGTAATCCCATTCTCGGAGATGGAAAGTCGGACAATCAGAATCATGCCATCATCTTCTACCGCGGGGAATACCTTCAGCTTATCGACGCTAATCAGGACAACTACCTCGAAGAGTGTCTCAAGATTAGGAACGTGTTGTCCGAGTTCGAGGAGTATGCCGTCTCGAGCCAGAGCCCGTACGCTCAGTGGGACCACAAGGATTTCAAAAAGCCACCTGTTGCCATCGTTGGTGCCCGCGAGTACATCTTCTCTGAGAATATTGGTATCCTTGGTGATTTAGCTGCTGGAAAAGAACAAACATTCGGAACCCTCGCAGCTCGATCGATGGCGTGGATTGGAGGAAAGCTTCATTACGGACATCCAGATTTTCTCAATGCTTTATATATGACTACCCGTGGCGGCGTGTCGAAGGCGCAGAAGGGATTGCACTTGAATGAGGATATCTTCGCTGGTATGAACGCCTTTGGTCGTGGAGGTCGCATCAAGCACACAGAGTATTATCAGTGCGGCAAGGGCCGTGATCTCGGGTTCGGAACCATTCTCAACTTCCAAACGAAGATTGGTACAGGTATGGGTGAACAAATGCTCAGCCGAGAATATTACTACCTTGGAACACAACTTCCCATCGACCGGTTCCTCACCTTTTATTACGGACATCCGGGTTTCCAGATCAACAATATGCTGGTCATCTTATCAGTTCAGATATTCGTGGTGACCAGTACGTGTTCAATCTGGGATTGTTTTCTCCGCTGACCAAATTCTTTGTAGTGGTGTTCCTGGGGACTTTGAACTCGCGGCTCCAGATTTGCAAGTATACCTCGTCAGGTCAATTCATTGGTGGTCAAGCTGGATGCTACAATCTAGTTCCTGTCTTTGAGTGGATCAGACGTTGCATCATCAGCATTTTCTTGGTATTCATGATCTCTTTCTTGCCATTGTTCCTTCAAGGTTCGTTGCTTCAACTCGTTTTTAATCTACACACTCATTTGATGATAGAACTCGTTGAGCGTGGAACCTGGAAAGCCATCTTCCGCCTCGCGAAGCAATTCGGCTCATTATCCCCCGTCTTCGAGGTCTTCGCTACGCAGATCTATACCCACTCTATTCTTAGCAATTTGACCTTCGGTGGTGCTAGATATATCGCAACCGGTCGTGGTTTCGCAACCACCAGGATTCACTTCAGCACGCTCTTTTCGCGCTTCGCTGGGCCCAGCATCTATCTGGGGATGAGGACACTGATCATGCTTCTTTATGTGACCTTGTCGCTTTGGACTCCCTACCTCATTTATTTCTGGATATCCATCCTCTCGTTGTGTATTGCTCCGTTCGTGTTCAATCCGCATCAATTTGTGTTCTCCGATTTCATCATTGATTATCGGCAAGTTCATCTTTGATTCTTACATGACATGCCGGCTGATCGCCTTTCGTATTCTAGGGAATTCTTGAGATGGATGTCCCGAGGTAATTCGCGGTCACACAACAACTCGTGGATTGGTTACTGCCGCCTGTCTCGCACTATGATCACTGGTTACAAAAAGAAGAAACTCGGTCATCCTTCAGAGAAACTCTCTGGAGATGTTCCACGAGCGGGATGGCGGGCAGTCATCTTCTCCGAGGTCATCTTCCCTATCATAATGGCCGTTCTCTTCGTCGTAGCCTATATGTTCGTCAAGGCATTCCCCGATGCAGATGGGAGGTATCCCCCAAGTCCTCTGATCCGTATTGCTGTCATTTCACTCGGTCCCATTGTGTGGAATGCAGCCATACTTCTCACCCTCTTCCTGATCTCTCTGTTCCTCGGTCCTATGCTCGACCCTGTGTTCCCCATCTTCGGCTCTGTTATGGCATTCATTGCTCACGCCTTTGGAGTGGTGGGAATGATTGGTTTCTTCGAGTTCTTGGTAAGAATCAATGTCTATCCGCTACGCATCTTCATGCTGACTTTTATCAACAAAAGTGGTTCCTTGAGGCGTGGGATGCGTCTCACGCTGTCTTGGGTCTAATAGCCGTCATTGCAATTCAGCGTGCTATTCATAAGATCCTCATCGCCGTCTTCCTTTCACGTGAGTTCAAGCACGACGAAACTAACCGAGCATGGTGGACCGGACGCTGGTATGGTCGTGGGCTTGGTGCACATGTAATGTCTCAACCGGCGCGAGAGTTCATTGTCAAGATCATCGAGCTGTCGTTATGGAGCTCTGATCTACTTCTTGGGCACATGCTGCTGTTCATGCTGACCCCGCCCATCCTGATACCCTACTTTGATCGCTTCCATGCCATGATCCTTTGTAAGCCTTCTTATTCAAGGATGTTTTCTGTCTCGCTAACTAGTTTCATCTTGCAGTCTGGCTTCGTCCATCGAAACAAATACGTGCTCCATTGTACTCCATCAAGCAGAAGAGGCAACGCCGCTGGATTGTAAGTATCATACCCGTTTTTCCTTGGTTACGACTTACGTTTCTCACAGATCATAAAATACGGCATAATCTATATCGTAGTCATTGCCCTCTTCGTCATTCTCATTGCTATTCGTGAGTTTCCTGGTTGCTATCCAACTGATTGATTTTATTCATTCTACATCATTTCAGCCGCCGTATTCCGAACTACTCTAAAAATCAACTGCACTCTTTGTAACAATCTCTAAAGGACCTTAATCTTCACGACCCTTATAGACCTTGCCCCGCCCATACCGTTTATCTTAATTCATTTCCGGGTGTCGGGATGCCCCCATGGACTTCCAGCGAGCAATCTTCCCGTCGACTATTGTGGATCATTTCTACCGCACGGACATTTATGTACGCCTACCATACAAGACAAATATGATTACGATCTTGTCATTCACATCTATTTGGAGAGCTTCTGCTCGGAGATGTTCGCTAACCTCGCAGCACAGCATCATCACCTCCCAAGATACCGCAATCATCCGCAAGGTGACAATCACATCTATTCGTGGTTGGCTTCAAAAAATAGAAAATGGTCGGTTTCAGTTCGAATTTTCAAAGTTGCGAGGCGAGCGCATGTTTTTCGGAACACCGACCCGCCTGACGAACACACCTTTTGGAGTCGGTGGGACTTCGCTTTTTTCCCTTCATCTGCCCATTTGCATATATTAAGCGAGCTCTAACCTTCAGTTTGGCATACCCCCGTCAACTACTCTTCACCCTCCTGCCAACTCACTCTCAATCAAGTTGCCATGAAGTCCTACATCGGCGTTGGAATTGCTGCATTGCTGCTGCCAGGGGCTATTGCGCGTACCTTCACTGTATGTAAATCATGAACGTTTTTCTTTCACTTAACCCCGCCCTTCTAGGTACGCAACGCTTGCCCCTTCACGATATGGTAAGTTGACCTCCCACTCTCCGCCTTGTTCAGCTGAAATGGACATGTCTAAATTAGGCCCGCAGTAATGCCTCGTTCCATGACCTCATATTGCGGTTTGCAGGCCTGACGTCTCTGCAGATGTTCACTGATCTGAACGTTGCCCAAAATGTGCCCTCCTTCGCAACTGGGTACTGAACGCCTTTTATGGTGTGCTCTGGAATTCACGTTGATGATTCGAATAGATGGGAAGCTGGGGCATCCACCCAAGTCAACTTCGCGGTTCCTGACAACTGGAAAGCTGGACGCATTTGGGTTGGTATTTTCAGCTGTACTCAATCTGGGTCATGCTGATTGGCGAATTTTCAGGCTCGTCGTGACTGCGACTTCTCGACCAATCCCGGCCCCAACTCCTGTCTAGATGGCGGATGCAATGGAGGTTTGGAATGTGACCCACACACTGGCACTGTACGTACGCCCTTCCCAACGCCAAAACGTACAAAATACAGTTTTCTATAGGGTGTTCCTCCAGCCACAGTGGCTGAATGGACGCTCCAAGGCGACGGAAACCAAGACTTCTACGATGGTAAGTTTTCTTCGCGTCTCCGTCGTCCGAGCACCTTACCTGGCTTAAAACTGCGATCAGTCTCACTAGTCGACGGTTACAACCTACCAATGAGGATTGATAACAATGTGGGTTGCCCAGTCGCTGACTGCCCTGTTGACTTGGGACCGAATTGTTTGTCTATCTGCCATTTCTGCCACATGAAATCCTATTACTTATCGGCGTCCACGACAGGCCCGACTCCCCTCAAAGGGCCTTTTGACTCTACTGGTTTCCCTGTCGGCTGTAAAAGTGCCTGCAACGCCAATCTGGATGGCAACCCAGGTTTGTGATAGATCCTGCTGGATTCAAAAACGATGCGATAACTCATCTTTACCAGGAAACTCTGCCAACTGCTGCTCAGGCTCCCACAACACCGCGGCCACCTGTCCTAGTTCCGGTATGCATAACATTGCAGTTGATGTCCCTACCCTTTTGAAGTCCCTTTCTGTGATTTGTACAGGTGTCCAGTTCTATAGCTACTTCAAAGGAAACTGCCCTAACGCATACGCCTACGCCTTTGACGAGTCGAGTGGTACTGCCCTCTGGACCTGCAATTCCGGCCTGAACGCCGACTATACCCTGACTTTTTGCCCATAAACGTCTCTTATTCGTGTTATACGGTTACCCCTCAATCGTCGGACTTGCATTTACCTAGGTACCTACCCTCCAGGCTGCTTTGATATATATTGCATGTATACTAAGTACCCTCAACATAACGGAGAATGCGTGCGAATTGGCTCGCGGTGGTGGACGGTAACTAGATGGTAACCTGCGCTAACTCCGGATCCAACTTGTTTGCAATCCAAAACTTGGTTTCGCTGCCTGGTTCAGTGACGTCACCACTCGCAAACTTTGCCATCGTGACTTTTCGTTCCTTGAAACTTAAGCTTACACACTTACTCTCGCCATCGTCCAACGAGGCGTTACGCGTTAACGTCGATACAACACATTGGGCCTTCAAACTGCGGCTAGTCGCTTCAGTGCTCTCGGGTGGCTCCAGAGTCCTAACCGCCCTGATCATACTTTGATCATAACCGTGAAAGTATGACTTTGAACGTTCCTCTCATCAGTCACCAGTGTGCGGCTGTGGTCATACTGACACCACACCAGATTATGCCTTGCACACATCAGAAGCAAAAGTCATTTGGCGAAGTTATCGGAAATCCACCCTCCGCGGACTGCAGCTTTGATTGACTGCATACGAGTTGGGCTGTTCGTTGGCAAGGACTCACTGGAAACGAAAGGCCTTTGAATTGGGTTGCCACATGCCCTGGCATTCATCTGACTTGTGGGTAAGAGTCATGCTGTGATCTGGCAAAAAAAAACCACATCGAATCAACAATAAGCCTAGTAATACCGCGGAGGATTCTATTTCCATCTACTACTTGCATTGCAAAAACGAGCTGGATCACATCTTTTGGAATCCACCAACAGCCTCGATCATTTGATACCACGAAGTACCGAGATGCTTTGTATCGCCTGCTACCAGACAACTGGATCAGGAGGTCGGGTTACATACTCAAGGCCAAGGAATTGAACTAGTATAAAATGCGAGGATTCCGATACTTGGACCATAACTTACTCGAAGTTCCCATGAAGACTACTTTTACAACGACTCTCGCTTTGGCCGCTGGCGTTTCTGCTCGAACCTTCACGGTCAGTGCAGATGAAGCATAGCATCAATTATTCTCATGAAGCCCCAAAGGTGTATAACGCATGTCCATTCACAATTTGGTATACTACCTATTCATGATGTTTTTCTTGTATTGACTACTTTCTAGGCCAGCGGTAAATATCTTTGCGATAAACTCTCTCAAAGGCCAACCTAGATTCTTCAGATGTTCACGGACTTGAACGTTGGGACTGCCATTCCAGCCTTCCAGACAGGGTGGGTGTAATACATCAAATTCTATACGCTACTTCATCGATTTTGTCCTGATTAACTTTTCAAAGTTGGGAGGCCCCTGCTTATTCAAAGGTTTCGTTCACTGTTCCAAACAATTGGAAGGCTGGAAGGATCTGGGTAAGCAGAATCATTCAATAGCTATGTCTCATAACTCAAGGGAGCGTAGGGAAGGCGTAACTGCGATTTCTCCGGGAACCCAGGGTCTAACTCTTGCCTTGATGGGGGCTGCAACGGCGGCCTCCTTTGCGACGCACATACAGGAACTGTGAGCCTCCAAGAACACCTGAAGATCTAATCCCTAACTCTCCCATTCAATAGGGTGTGCCCCCCGCAACTGCCGCAGAGTTCACTCTCTCGACCGACAGCAACAAAGATTTTTATGATGGTGAGTGGAATCGAGTAAATTTGACACAGATCCCAACCTCTCACCAGTGTCCCTCGTTGATGGGTTCAATCTCCCAATGCGAATCACCAACAACGTCGGTTGTCCTGTCGCGGAATGTCCAGTTGACCTTGGTCCCAGCTGTGTGTGATGGCAATTGAATATTCATCGAATGTATCATTGATGCCTCAATCAGGTCCGTCGCAACTGCAAGGTCCTTTCGACTCTAGCGGATTCCCTGTGGGGTGCAAGTCCGCCTGTTTCGCGAATCTTGACGGAAACCAAGGTAAAAATTTACCGTTTGAACCATCTTCTGCGCTTCATGTATTTCATCACAGGAGACTCGGGTAATTGTTGCTCCGGTAGCCACAATACCGCCGCAACCTGTCCCCCTTCTGGTAACTGCGAGCTTTGCTATTATTTTTGTTATGTCTTACGTGCTTTTGGAATGACAGGCGTTGCGTTCTACAGCTACTTCAGTCAGTCCCTTGCTTCCGTAACTTTTTTAAATATGCACGCTAACAGACACATAGAAAAAAATTGCCCAAACTCATACGTATATGCATACGATGAATCAAGTGGAACGGCCCTGTGGACTTGCGATGCTGCTCTAAACGCTGATTATACCGTCACATTCTGCCCTTGAAGCGGTCGCTGGGGAGTTTTGACTTCTTTGTTTTTCTTCTTGAAGTCCATTTTGTTTCTTTTTACAGTGGACGAGCTCTATACAGTCTTTCCAAGCATATGTATTGGCGGGTCGAATGGACGCGGTTGAATGTCAATGACAGAATGCTTTGTTTTTCCGGCTTGTGCAACTTCGACTTTTCTCAAGACAGCAACTAAGTACTGGCAAATTATTTCTTGTGAGTTATGCTCTGGTCGAAATCGAGAGTTAAGTTTCCGCAACCATATTACAAACAAGTTGTGCTTACTGTTGAACTTCATGCAAGTTACATGTAAGCCGATAATCAATCTTACAGACACCCAACAGGTGCTTGCCTCATGTCCGCTAACGAGCCAATTTGGAGCCAATAGTGAAGCCTCAGCAGCTGCAAAACAACAAGCATAAACAGCCCAACCTTACTTTCTCCATCATGGGCCGCTGGACACAATACGATGAAGTAAGCCGTTATACCAAAGCATCTCTGGTTTTGACATAGCTCAACTTGTGCGCGACAGGATGAGGCGCGCTTACCGGAAGGTATGCAGCGTATTGGCTACGACGCCGACTGCAGCCGCTACACCTTTCGTGATAAGGAAGGAAACATATACCAGAGTGCTCCTAGAGCACGGTATGGGATTTTAACACCCGTCTCTGACCCCGTCGCTGAGGTCATGAAGTCAAGGCCTCAGGCATTCGCCACTAATGGTAAGTCGTTAGAAGGATATACAGGGAGACCCTGACGCTACTTATTGTCCTTTATCACTCTCAACAAGACAAGCAGAAATCAAGGAGCCACTCTTTGAGTCCTGTAGACCAACCGTTGATAACTTTCCATGACTTGCTACCACCTAACGCCATCACGTCAGCCTCGCCGTCGGGGAGCAAGAAACCATTGCCCACGTTGGCTACTACCACGAGTACTATAACTCCCCGAGAGCGCTTCGTACAAGCTGTGCGGAGAGCTACGCTGCCCAATATACAAGGCGTTGTTCGTAGTCTCAAACGCTCAATGACGTCTGCCAGAAGGGCTTCCTCTTCCAGGGAGTCCAGTGATACTCAAGGTCTTTTGGGAACTCCAAGAGGTTCATCGAATCTGGAACGCGCTACCTCTTCGGTTACTGCTTGGTCAGGTCCTTCTCAAACGGAAGTACCGTAAAGCCACTGACTTGCAAGGACAACAAAGGAAGGACTTATTGTACATCTATGCTCACTCAGTCATTTCAGATCTTACCCACAACCAAGCCCTTTGTACTCTAGTTTATTCGTCAATTTTCTGGAAGTAGTTACGATTGTATCTCATGGGACATTTGGATTTTATTGTACCATTTGTAACCTCTACGCTTCTCGTTGAATCGATTTCTGATTGATTCTGGTAACAAGTGCAACACGCCCATCACTTACTTGGCCTCCCAACAGATGCCTAGCAACTTTGAAAGCGTCGAATTCACAGCAATGGTGCTCGATGTATTGTAACAAAAAAGAACCTAAAAGACCGAAGGTTGAATGTCCAACCCAACAGTCATCGTCTTCGTAACAACCGAAGCGCCATCGCCTCATCCTCCTCAAGGGTATCATTTACTGTGGGTCGTCTGGTGGACACAGTGGAAGTCGACGTCTTACTCCGCTTCGGAGGGGGTGGCAGGTCGTTCTCTTCTTCATCCGACGGGAGAACTGGCAGATCAAACTCAGGAGAGATATAACCAACATCTGAACCAGTGTCCAGGAATGCAACAGCGTCTCCATCGTTTTCCGTTGTCTGTTGTAACAATGTAAGCTTGGTTCATTTGTCCAGCGAAAAAAAAAAAGGACATACCGCTTTCTCTTTGTCCTTTCTCTTGCGCTTCTTCTCCCTTTTCTTCTCCCTCGCCTCTTCCTTATCAACCACATCCGCGACCTTCATTTTACCCCTCTCCCCCTCTGCGAACTTCTTTCCCTCCTCCTTTGCACCTGCCAGACCACCCGTACCCTCGAACCAGGCATCTGGATCCGCCATCTCATACAATTCATGTGGCTTGCCTTCATCGTCGAAAACTAGCTTAGTTGAAAGCCCGCCTTTCGCAATGGTCCGCTTTGCCCTTCCAAGTTTGAGTTTTCGTTTGGAGAGTTCGCTTGCATCGTAGGTCGGAGTCTTGTCCTCCAGACCGTGATCCGCCCGTTTGAGGGTAATGAAGTCATCGCCATCGTCTGACATGGGTTCGTGGTCGATAAGCTTGCTGTAGTGTTCCGAGAGAACGTTCTGATTCTTCCTCTCAAACATGCGGTCGTATTTGGTTCGGACAGCGGTCGGCTAAATGAAACGTCAATTCATAATCATGCGGTATTGGAGGGGAAAAACGTACTTTTGATATAGCGGTTTGCACCCCTTCGTCATCTTCATCCTCTTCACTGGACTCCCCTCCATCACTTTCTCCTGCACTACTCTCTTCCTCTTCCTTCTCCTTTTTAACTTCTGCCTGAGCGGCTTCCACCGTCCTCGACGCGTTTTTCTTCTTTTTCGCAATCTCCTTGTTAAGAAACTTGATTTTCGGTGTACCAGGTAAACCCAGAGATTCAGCGAACCTATCCACCGGAAGTTCCTCTAGTTTGAATATTGACTTGTCCTTGTGGATATAAATTGACCGAAGGTATGATACGAATGCCTAAAAAGTCGTTGCTCGATCATATAGCATAGATTTTGGCGTAAACGAAACGCACCCGCTGTCCCAAATACTTGATTTCTGGGTCCTGAAATGCGAGATTCTGTAGCTGGTTCTCGATAGTTTGCGTTTTGCTGGCACGGATTTTGATCTGTTTCACGTCGATCGCCCTCTTTTGAAGGGCGACTTTCATGCCTTCTTCCTCGCTAGGCATCAGGAATAGCAGTGCCTTTCCCTTGCTTTCATACCGTGCCGTCCTTCCCACACGGTGGATATAGGTATCGGCATCCTCTGGGGCATCCATTTGCAGCACCCAGTCGACAGAAGGGAAGTCCAGACCTCGCGCCGCGATATCAGTGGCAAAAAGCACTGCATGAGATATTGAGGAGAATTTGGTGTACATTGTGAGTCTTGCGGATTGTTTTTGCTTCCCGTGAAGGTGGAGGAGGGGAACACCGGGATGCATCTTGCAAAATGTCTCAAAAACGAAGCGGACTTGCTTACAGCTGGACATAAAGACTATGATTTTAGATTGTAGGTGCGTTTTGATGAAGCTCCATAGGACGTCAAGTTTTTTGTCCAACTCGCAAATAACGTAGTGTTGTTCAAGGTTTTGCGGCATGGTGGACGTTGATGAGCTTGCTACGTTGATCCCGACGTAGACTGGATCTTTGAGGCTAAGGCGTGCAAGATCACTGACGGACTGGGTTTGCGTGGCGGAGAAAAGAAGAGTTTGGCGAGATTTGGGTAAGTGAGAGAGGAGGGCGGCGAGGGTTTTTTGGAAGCCCATATCCAGAATTCTGTCGGCTTCATCGAGAACTAAAAAAAACGTTGGGATGATAATTTAGGCGTCGAGGACAAGTTGACTCACCTAAAACTTGTAAATTATCCGCATCGAAACCGACTGTCTGGTCCATATGCTGGAGAAGCCTTCCTGGCGTGGCAACAAGGATGTTCATTCGAGATAGTCGGTCCCGTTCATCCTTGAGGTTCTTGCCGCCGATGACTAACCCAGCAGAAAAGGAATGATACCCTCCAATCGAACGCAAGACATCGAATATTTGTACAGCCTGGTCTTGTGTCAGACGACTTTAGCGGACAAAACAGAGAATAATTCACAAGTTCTCGCGTCGGAGAGATAATCAACGCTCCTAGTCCGTCTGCAGCACCCCATTTCCGACGGTAGAGAATCTCCAAGACAGGAACGAGAAACGCTAATGTCTTCCCACTTCCTGTTTGCGCTGCACCAAGGACGTCTTTCCCTTTGAGTGATATGGGTAGACTCTTCGTCTGGATGTCCGTCATGTCCATGAAGAATGCTTTCTTCAGACCTATAAAGGGTCAGGCTTTCAGATTTTCTGGAAAGAAATATATAGACCTCTCTTCGTCGCGTCTGATATAGGGAGATCGGAAAATGCCTTGAGGCCATCGGGAGAGTCCTTCCATAAATTTAGCTCTGGTTTAGTAGGTTCTGCGCAGTTGATTTATGGCAGTTGGACGTGTCCTACTCACAAATGACAGGGCGTCCCGTTCAAGTGCCTCGATCTTTTGGTTTTCAGACAATTTCTTGAACTTTTGAGGTTTTACGGAAGCCTTTCCTTTTTGCTTTGATTTTTGTTGCTTTTTTTGTTGAGAAGATATTGTAGATGATCCAGCCTTGCCTGCCATTGCCATTTTACCAGAGGAAGGAAAAGGACGTCACGGGGTGATAGCACTGATACGTCACAGACTCGTTCAGTGTGACACTTACCCGCACCAATGTCACACACCAATGTCAAGCACTACCTTCACCTCTGGTAACAACTTGACCATCAGTGTTGATGCGGACTCGGACGAGGAATTCGATCGAAATGAGGGGCGGAGACCGGGTATGGTCAAGAGTGCGTTCAAATGATGGATCACCCTGACATTTCGCCCCCAAGCTGACTTCTAATTAGAACGAGAACGGAAACTAATGCTTAAACTTGCCATCTCTTTCTTCCTCTTCGGCCTTATCAATAACGGTACGTCTGCGCGTTGCTCCTTTAGACCTATGTTTAACGTGTTGTAACTGTAGTATTATATGTAATAATTCTATCTGCTGCACTTGATCTTGTTCCACCATCGACGCCAAAAGGTATCATTGCCTTTTGCAACATCGCATAGCAAAAGTTGGTTGGCCGTACATTTTCAAGGCCCGGATATGTTATAAGCGACTCATTGGATGCTGTTTTCTCAGCTCTGCTGGAATGCTGGTATGTTCACTCGCAGCTCTGACCTAAAGTGCTTGCTTAATACTTCTTGCAGATCGTCGGCATTTTTCAATAGTCTTCCCATGAAACTTCTCGCCCTAGGGTGCAACCATTTTTCTAATGTCTTAAAAACATAGGCCTCGGCGAACTTATTTTCTTACACTACCGACCACTAAATAGCAGGCTACAGCGTCGGGTATGTCTTCCCGATTGTCTTTGGGTAGTTCTCATCGGACAATGTGTGTAGCTATTTTGCTTCGGGCACCGGAGTTGCTGGCCTGCTCGGCGTGGTCTGGTGGGAGATGCGTGGGTTGGGTGTCCGCGTTGGAGTGTGGGTTATCATCAGTCAGTTCTAGTCTTTGTATTTGATCTAGATCATGCCACCAATAACTCCTCTCTCCTACTTCCTCAGGCTTCCTCATAGCTCGTCGTTCCTCCATTCTGTTACGCCCACTGTCTATGCAGACGCTTTAAGTAGTCTGTCTATCTCGTGAGTTTCATTTGCCCTCTTTATACACTTACATCTAACATTTGACACTCGCGTCAGTTTGAGTACACCATCAATCAGGTCTGTTTGAACTCCTCGTCACTGACTCACCAACCTCTGATCCGTGTTTCTCGACAATCAAGTGGATCGGTCCGACACTTCTGTATCCTGTGCCATCGGCGAAAGACCACTGGCTGCTCAGCAAGATCATTCACTCTGTCCGGGATTACTATCCCCTGTGGCAAGTACGTCGCCCCATCCTCCACGTATTCTTGATCAACTGATTTATGCTCTACTCTAGCTTGTCTATCAATCAACCGTCTTCCTGTCCAGATCCTCCATTTCATTCGAGATCCCTGCTCTTCCCCAAAGCATGCTCCCGCTACTCGCCATCATTCAAGCCATCATCCTCGTCGTCCTAGCCTATGAGTCAGCGGTAGGACTGTTTGATGACGGCGATGAGGTCTGGAGCGTCTTGCTCGTCTTCATTCTAATCAGTCTAGAAGAGATCTGCGGCAGCTTGGCATAGTACGCTATCCGTTATCCTTTTAAGCGTTCCACATGCTTACTCGTCCCATCAATCACCTTCACTCTTTAGCGTCAACGTCTTCTATCGCGTTACTCACGAACCTCCGGATCCAAACACACGCAACAACATTGAACGAACGCGTCAAGAACGCGAGTTCAAGATTGGCTCTATCGGATTCGCGGATTCGACTGGTATCCTGTTTGCTTCCATTTTTGCGGTACCTACCGAGTTGGAACTTTGCAAAGCGCAAGTCCAGAGGGGCAAGCTCCTTTGCAAAGGGCTTTAGACAAGTAGAGTGTTTATACGCGGGCGTCTATGTATATTTATTACTATGTTACCCCCCATTTAAAGACAAAGCAAAGAACAAGGTAGCAACGATAGCGAAGCTATATAGCGATATTGAAAGGGTCAGATATGATATAACGTGTATGGGTGGATATAACTTGTATGGGTGAGATGAAAAATGCATTTGTTCAATCCTCAAAGAGTTGGCGGGGAGATGCAACCTAAGATCAAAAGGCGTAAAAAAGTGCTAGACATCATGGAACATTAGATGCCTGCCTACCTTGTGCGTGTAAGATTGCCACGTCTCCTGCAAGCTGCTGTCTTCAGCTGCGATCCCCCTAAGAACACCTCCAGGGGTATAGTGTTGGTGCGGTTGGTACGCCTGCTGCTGCTGCCGTGACGGACCCGCGCCATACGGTTGCTGCTCCTCCATAGTATACCCACTCGGTGCCCCGGGCCAGTATTGGTACTATTCCCCACGGTAGGGGGCTGCCTGCATGGTATGCGAGTTGCAGATTGGGATGAGATTGAGAATGCGAGAGTTGTCGGAGATGATGAGAGGAGGACACGGACGTGGGAATGGCTGCTGGTGGTGGTGGTGGTGGGACGTCGTGCATCGGATGATCTGGTCCAGGAGGTTGAGCATAGGCTGCACGGTGGCCATGATGCTGTTGTTGAGCAGCATGTTGATGCTGTTGTTGCAATTGCTGCTGCTGTAAGAGTCGTTGCTGCTCCTCCACTTGCAAACGATACTGCTCTTGTCTTTGCTGTTGCTGAAGCTGCTCCCGGCGTCGAAGTTCCTCCTCCTGCTGTTGTTGCAGTTGTTGTTGCTGCCTTAAAAGCTCTTGTTGCTGCTGAAGATGTGCCTGCTGTTGAGCCTGTTGCTGCATAAGAATCTGTTGCCTCTTCACCTGTTGCCTCTCCCTCTCCTGCTGCTGCTGGGACCTCTGCCGCGCCAATTCCCGCCGATGACGCAGCAGCAGCTGCTGTAACGACGGCCCACGGTCCATAGCCATGGGAAAACCACTAAACAAATCCGCGCGTTGCGCATTTTGCAGCTGCGCCCGGCGGATGTGTCCGTCAAACACATTCAACAGATTCACCAAGCTGGGGTGAAAATTAGCAAATGAAGGATTATCCGTGAACGCCTGCTTTGGTGACTCCGACGAAGCTTGCGAAGAATATGCAGTGTCACCACCTTGTGTGAGACCTGGAAGTGGACAAACGCAACGGTAGGGGGGTTAGTAGCGGCTTTGGCAGATTTTGTAGCGACGGTGTGAGTCTTGCCACTGAATATCGAGAGCTCGTCCTTGTTGTCTTCAGGTTCAAAAGGTCTAAAAATGTCGTTCTGAATCTTGGGTGCGATGCCTCTGGTAGTCTCGCGGTAGACTTGCTGTGCCTTACCTTGAAGCCGTCTCAAAATAGGTTTTAAAGGAAGAGAGATTAACCTTTTGAGTAGTATACTGTACTAATACGACCAACTGTTCAGGCCCCTTGGGGTGTGACATGTTTTGACCATCTCTTCATCGCTTCATTGTCCTGTGTGATGCGTGACGAAGAGTTTTTGCTCTTCGTCCACCACATATTTCTCAGACAGTTTGGCCCAGCAACCTGTTGATTTTTTGGCTGGAAGGTAAGCATGGATTCCTCAAGTATAACATGGTTCTAAATATGCCAAATGTGATGTTTAAAACAAGGCACCGCAGGTCCGGAAAAAAATGACTATTTTCAATTCAAAAAAAAAACTCTTCAAAACTTGGTGTGATGCGTGACATCACGCCTACTTCCCTTCCTTCACAACCCTTTGTGATGCGTGACGTGAAGACGTGGTCGTATTAGTACAGTACATGCGAAAGGGAGGCACGAACGAGAAATTTGACAACTCTTCCACCATAATTCGCAGCACTCGCAAAGAGTTCGCATGCCGAATATAATTCCATCAGCGCTGCTGGGGCGACTTTACACTTGGAGCTGTGTGTCACAACAGACGCTAGCATCACCTACCAAACATAAGCTTCCATCATATAGGGTGATAAAACACGAGCACCGCTCACCGTAGCTGAAGACGCATGCGTCCACAAGACCCCAAACCGGGCGATTTGCGCCGGAAACATGGCAAACTGCTGTTTCACCGACCCAATAATGGTGCAGGCGCTTCGATATCCAGCAAGGAAGGAGGGAGCGTACTGGCTCTTTATCGGATCGAGTGGGTTGCTTTGCGCGAAGAAACAATGATGTATGTAAAGAAGAGCTATAGAAAGACATCTGTGAGTGTAACTCGGATGGAATAATGACAAAGACCCACTGAGTTCACAGTACTAATTCGTGGGCATCAAATGGGACATGGTCAACGCGAGACCAAGCCGTCAGTGGGGTGTTGGTGGGGTGGCGGACATTGGGCGTACGACGGGAGTTCCATGTCCCGCACTTTCCGGTCGAGGTCGAGAATATGGAATACTTTAGTGCGCGCGAAGTAAGGGTTCTATATATTATTGTGATTCTTCCGCTTGTTCCTGGTGGTCTGGGCTCTCATGTTCTTCACCTTCCACGGCCGAATGAAGCTCAATACTCGACTTGATCTCTATTGAGCTTCAACAGCTCACGGTCAAGCAGCGGGTGTGGTTCTTTGCTAACTGTCGACTGCAAGATGGCAAGGGCGTCCTCCAACTGACGTATACGATCACTTATAGTATGGGCTATCTTCCAAGGCAGCTTCCAAGCAGCTTCTCCCTGTCCGAGGAATAACTCATGTGAGCGAGCGACAACATCGAAAAGTATACGGACTGAACCCACCTCGTCCCTTGACCAGTGATTGGACTCCCGTTGGGAGATATCGCAGAATAGCCTCTACTGTGACGTCTGAGCCACGAGAATAGAATGGGGTGGGACAAGAACACACCTTGAACGTGGTACGGTCTTGTCACATCTCAGCTTGAGGCTACGGGGTATCGATCAGGTTGGGGGCCCGGGATTGTTATGATGAGTTGTGCTCACTGGCGACGCTCCGCACAAGAAAGAGCACTTAGAAAGCCGTTAACGCATGCCAGCTGCTTCTTGAACGCCCGTACCTCTACCTCGCTTCGACTCCTTGTCTTGTGCACGCTGTGAGGTGGCATCCCTGCGTGATGCCTGTGGCATGTGGGCGTTAGTAGTAGGTGCGCCGGGACCTAGCAAGTCAAAAGTAAGTGCATTCTTGTATCCAGGAACTGCTCTGCCGTGTAATGATAACCTGCTTGATGCGACCCGAGCTATGCCCAAAGCCTGTAATCTTCTCGTATGGCATTATTATCACTTGCGTCGTAGTACTGAGACTTCTGTTCAAAACAAAGACGAAGAAAAGTACTGTGTCGTTTTATGAAAGCCTTGAAAATCTATTGTACAAAACCAAGCGTGATACCAGCAAACTCAGAACAATCCTCTAAAGTGTCCATCCACTCCTTCGCATCTATCGTAGGTTTCCCGGCAGCTTCCCAGACTCTTGCAAGCCATCCTGCAGCGCCCTTCCATGGCGTGTTGATTTGAAATACATGGAGATCCCACAAAAGGTAGCCGTGGTCAGCCGCTTCAGCTTGTAGACTCAAGTTGTGGTCCAGCCATCGCTGTTCAGTGAAGGGGCAGCCAACTTCAATGGCGGCATTTTGCCAGCCCAGCTTGTGAGCAATGCTTCGTGCGAGGAACCGGTAGTCGTCCCTCTGCTTGAGAATTTTCACGGTCTCCGCTTTCTCCTCAGCCGTAAGAGATCCATCATTCACAAGGGCATTGCAATGGCGGAGAAGATAGACTTCTCCAAGTGTCTCCGGTGGTGCAAATCGTAGGTGGTCCCTAGCAAGACAGAGAAGCACCTTTTCATTTTCTTCTAACAGGACTGATTCCGTATTTTGCAGGATAGGCGATGAGTTGCCAGAGGCAAGTGGGGCTCGAGATGGAGGCTGAACATTATTTCGCTGAAGGGCAGGAGAGTTTGTCAGGTCTGCGAACAAGGGTTTCCAAACAGTATCATCTTCCCGACATGGGCAGATTTTGAAGTCGGCAGAGGCATAGGTTCTACCCATGTCGTTTCGCAGTTTATGCAACCAATCCAAAACGTCTGATGTACGCTTACGCGGCAGCAAGAGCATCGGATGTCGCTGCCCCTGACGAGGGGGACCAAAGTCGTGTTCCATTTGTGCAAAGGGGTTTGAGTAACCTCCGCTACTATAAGTTGGAGTGTCTGTGACAGGGCCGGGTTTAGGTGCTCGCAGTCCGTACTGGTCGGCGTGCTCCGCTAAGAGGGCTGTGGTGAAGAGCCCACCACGAAAATGGCCAGAGTCCGACTCCACAATCGAAACTGATTCCTGGTCTGCTCCAGCTGCCGCAATAAGATTCCATCGCTTGCTTTTCCAGCGGCCTGAAAAGCAAGCGGTGATGATGAGGTAAACTGTTGCGGCACAGCCCTCTAGAGCGCACTCCACTTCAAACGGATGGAGGGTGATGTGATGGTATGCATCGCCCAAAAACACAATTCCCTCCTCTGAGCCATGTCCGCAGATAACGAGAAACAAGGTATCATCAGCGGTAAGCTTTGGCACGAAGTCCCGTATGGGCTGAAGGTAGGCGTAGCGGAATCCTATCAGTTTCCTAATTTCTCCGACTGGCTCCACTGTATCGACGATTTCTTCAAATGGTGGTGGTACGAAGATTATCCTGTCGCAGGCTGGGTCGCCAAGCAGAAAACCAGGGCCGCTACGGATCTCTTCACCACAAAGCCATGAGCTATTCTCTTCTGGACAGTCAAGCAGGGCATTGAGCGCCACGAAATCCGTGGCTTGCCAGTGGTTGAGCTTAAGCGCGGTCGATGCCAGTAGCCCGATGACGTAGCGTCGAGTTTGATCCGTCATTTCTGGACTATCGGAGGCAAGGGTTATGTGATGTGCGGAAAGGCCTTCAAGTTGGTCAATAGCGGGCAAATTATCTGAAGCGCGCGCGGGGGGCGGGGGTCAGGATGCGCAGAAACACAGACAAGGTTCAGAAATACTTCGCTGGATTTGTTGAAAGCTGCCAGAGGCCTGTTGCGAAAAAACTACAGCAAGGTCCAGTACCTTTTGGATTGGAGTCGGGACGGGGACGTAGGAAAAGACTCCAGAAGCGACAGAGAAGATGATATTCTTGCAGAGTCTGAGAGCCATTGTTTTGTTATATGTAACGGTGCGGTCTGAGTGGAACAGCAGAAGGAGAGGAGAAGTTCTGTGTTGAAGCTCTCCCCGTCTCACTTTCCTTATGAGGAAAGTTGATCGGCTGGGGGATGATATAGTACATGACGAACCATAAAAATATATGCCTTTGGTGTAGTGGTTATTTGTGCAGGTTTCTTGGTGCTTACCAGAGTGTTTGGTGTTCGATTCTGCATCCTCCATTTTTTTTTCTACTTATGTGGGCCGATTTAACGGCTCCCTACTCATACCTGTGTCCAAAATTTTAAATAAATAATAAAAAATAAAGAAGGAAGGGAAAAAAAGGGAAGAAAAAGGGAGGGATTTGGCTGACCAAGGTATGGTTTGAGCTGATATTCAGGCAGCCTTCACGAGCTGGTCAGCTTGTGCGAACTCAGATGGCGAAACAAATGTTTGGTTCTATTTGGCATCAGCATAGCCATGGCAGTAGTGAACCTAATAAATATTCACTAGCAAGTTCACTACTTCGTGTGGTACCTTCCAGTGGCTCCCTCGCACTAAAAAAATTCAGATATAATTTAGATGTATATATAAGCAAGTATACAAATTTCTATGCCTTTTCATGGCATATTGAGCAATACAGGTCAGTTTTCACTACTGAATCACATGTGCAGCGCTTAGATAATTTGTGAATCATGCGGATGCTCGTTTCGTCACCTGCTCACTCTTGTCCAACATCACCACTCCAAGTCTCTCCAAATCAGCGAAGGAACCAGGTATCAAAGGTAAGTAACATGTTTTTTTCATTTTATTGCTCAATATGATGAATTCACTGCAGTAAACAACCGAGGCGGCGGTCAGTACGACTGACCGCCACCTCTGATTAACCTCACCACACACAGCTCTTCTCAGCTCTCCCCACCCCCAAATCACCTCATTAACCACATCCCTCCCCGTCTCCACATTGCGAGCATGCCAGCACTCTGCCCCTCTCTTCTCTCAGATTCACGGCCTCTCCCACCCCTACTTGTCCCATCGAACGAAACAGCAGCCATTGCGCCTCTCTATTTGCCATCACTATACCCCCTCCCCTGTTCCAGGCTCCATCACAGCGAGGCAGGAGACACAGTTGGGTGGGCATAAACACAGGCCCAAGTAGCCGTCATTTATGTGCACCATCCACTGCTAGGTCCTCGTCCCCACCGTCCTCGCCAACACCTCAACCACCACCAAATTCGGACACGAACAACTATATCCCCGCCTTCCCCTTTTCATTCCAATGCTAATGCCTCAGCCACCACCCACAGCTCCCCGAACCTGCGTATTCAGACACGCGTGACTGCGCCCCTACCCTCTCTCCCCTTTCCAGTCCAACGCCTCAGATCTGTGGCTGACTGTTTCCGCAAGCCATGCGTGAACACGAGTAGGCATGCCATGTCGCTCTACCCACCATTCTTTCTTATTACCTCGCTACTTAAGTATGTTATGTCAATTCAATATTGAAACATATAAATTTCCTCTTCCCGTTCCTACTATCCCTTCCCTCACATTCAGTACTACAAAGCTTGCAACTTCATATCTGTGTTTTCAGGCTCCTCCATTATTCTTTCCAAATTATTTTGTAAGATTTTCAAGTATTTTCAATGCTAGACAGCAATTTGGCATTGAAAAATAAAATAAAAGTACATTCAAACTAATATATAGCTTCAGATATTGCATTGAACGAAGGAGCAAAAGAAGAGGAACATCCATTTGCCAGGCATCGGCATCCCAAATCGGAAGGTCATGTGATTCTTTTGAACTCTGTTCAGTAGTGATCAGTAGTGAAGCACAGGTATGAGTAGCGACCCGATTTAACAGGATCTCTCGGATCTCTACCCTTTTGGGAAGGTGCATGTGACCACGTGACCTGGTGTGTTGCGTCCTCCTCCCATTTCTCCTCCCCCGCCACCGCTTCGACCACTGTGTGTGTCCCCTTCCAAAGTTTTACTTGTAGTGTACCATTTTGCATTTATTATACATAAAAATGCAATTTTTTTTCCAGTCCTGGCCTTCCCCTGAGCAAACATGTAGCCTTGTCCCAAATGGACCTCATGGCGCATCCTTGATTGGGGCATGGGCACCATCAATCTTTTGGTAAAGATACAAAACTTGCAGAGTGTCTCTGATGCACCAGTCACTACATGTTTATCACTTTTTTTGCTCTTCAGGGGAAAATTTGAATGGTGGTTTGCTGCAAGGGACTGGAAATAAGTCAGATAAGCACACATAAGTCACCATAAGTGCTTATGTGCAATGGATTTAGGTTAAATCAAGTTCAATTTAGTGGATTTAATGTCCTGTGATGCCAACCAGCTCAATTCAAGGTAGCTTTCCATGAGCTGGCCTATCCCTGCACCCAATTTAAGGGTCTTTTGGTTCAGGGTACTAACCCCTGCTATAACACATCAGCTCATAAATCTCTCTGTAACCTGTACTGTCATTAGGCTTCTTAAATGTAATTCTCATAGTGTTTCTTGTAATGTTGCAGCTAAGGATGTATATTCACATGATGGGTAGTACATGAGTGGCAAAAAAGAGCATTCTATCCTGCAAAACTAAAACATGGCCTTGCACTCATTGAATCTTTGGACATACCTTGTAAATCCCCCACTTCCTGATGCGTGTTGTGATGCATGCAGCACATCATTTCCATCCCAACGCATTTGTTTGCACTTCATGAAATCATAATTGAGCGCGTGAGCATTTGACCTCTGGAAAGATGGAAAATGTGATGGGAGCCAAGCTCCATGTGGCATGGTGTTGACTGTGTCGCATTGAGAGGTTGGCTGCAGCAAGAGGGGGTTGAGAGAGACAAAGGCAAGAGGCATTGTACAGAAGTCAGGGTACATAAAAACAAAAGAATTTCACACAGAAAACAGAATCCAGTGATGGGTGTAATTTATCAAATTTAACATTCAGTGCCTTAAATTGAGTGAAATAATTGTACTTATGTCATTGAATTTGAGCGGATTCATCCCAAAAAGGGTTTGTGGGAGCGATCCAGGAGATCCCTGAGACTTTTCAGGGATCATGCCTCAGACCAGACCCTTTACATTCCCCATCACATCTTATCAGTGTGCACACATGCTTCCCTGCCCTTGCCTTTTGTGTGCCCAAAGGAGACATGTCCCCTTGTTCTGTCTTTCCCTTGCCCCCTTCCTCAATGCACTCCAGGGCAGTTAGTAGGAATCACCCAGCTACACTGAGAGCCCCGACAATACAAACAGGCCATAGTTGATGGGGCCTGCTGATGGGCCGATGAGGGCCAATAACCCTGTGTTGATGAATTGGCTGATGTGATCCCAGTATCAAGGTGAAGAAGGGTCGGCCAGCTACATAGATTTATCATAAACTGATCAGTAGGAGGAAGCTGCGCTGGGCAGTCAAGTCCCTGTATTTGTGTATCGGCTGATAGCTAACCGATGCAAGGTCGGCTGACAGTTTTTTGGCTGATGAAAGATAGCTAAGCTATGCAAGGCTGGCTGACAGTTTTAAACATTGCTGGGTAGGTGATCGGCTGAGGGGGCAGCTAAGCCATGCAAGATTGGCTGACAGTTCTGAACATTGCTGGGTAGGTGATCGGCCGAGGGCCATCACTTCTGATTAGCAGCTAGGCTATGCAAGGTTGGCTGATATTTCGACCATGGCCTGGGTTGGTGGGCGGCGGAGGGCCCTCGACTCTGGTTACCAGGGTCAGCTGGTCAGACGTAGATATCACGGAGTCGGCCGTGGACAAAAATGTATGAACATTGTCAGCCAATGCTTCACTGAGGCCGGCTTCTCAGTTGGGCCTTTAAGTTAGCAGCCGAGCAGAGGCAGACTGGGCAGAACTTACCTCCATAGTTCAAATTTTCAACTTGATCCATAGTAAATATAAAAAACAAGAGCTGCGATCGCTGCAAGTGACTTCTGGGATTCGAACACAGGGCATACATACATGACGTACACCTCCCAGCGTAACCACTAAGCCAAGCCAACGTTGGAAGACAATGGCGGCCAGTATCTTTTACCTGCCTGCAATTTGAACCCAGGTGTCCAAGCTCGGCACTTGGTAAGTCACCGTTCTCAGCATACGACAACACATTGGTGAAGTACTTTGGCTGGTGCCGAGGCCAGGTGGAAAATAACTGAGCAGACAAGTGAATTAAATTGGCAAAAGTGCCCAGGCTGCGTCTCAGGTAATAGAGCCGATTTAATATTAAATTGGTGAAGTACTTTAACTGGTGCCGAGGCCAAGTGGAAAATAACCGAGCAGACAAGTGAATTAAATCGGCAAAAGTGCCCGGGCTGCGTCTCGGATAATAGAACCGATTTACTATTAAATTGTTGAAGTACTTTGGCTGGTGCCAAGGCCAGGTGGAATATAACCGAGCAGACAAGTGAATTAAATCAGTAAGAGTGGCCGGGCTGCATCTCGGATAATAGAGCTGATTTAATATTAAATTGGTGAAGTACTTTGGCTGGTGCCGAGGCTGGGTGAAAAATAACCGAGCAGACAAGTGAATTAAATCGGTAAAAGTGCCCAGGCTGCGTCTCGGGTAATAGAGCCGATTTAATATTAAATTAGTGAAGTACTTTAACTGGTGCTGAGGCCGAGTGGAAAATAACCGAGCAGACAAGTGAATTAAATCGGTAGAAGTGCCCGGGCTGCATCTCAGGTAATAGAGCCGATTTAATAGTAAATTGTTGAAGTACTTTAGCTGGTGCCGAGGCTGGGTAAAAAATAACCGAGCAGACAAGTGAATTAAATTGGTAAGTACTTTGGCTGGGTGGAAAACAACCGAGCAGACAAGTGAATTAAATTGGCAGAAGTGCCCAAGCTGCGTCTCGGATAATAGAGCCAATTTAATATTAAATTGGTGAAGTACTTTGGCTGGTGCTGAGACCGGGTGGAAAATAACCGAGCAGACAAGTGAATTAAATCGGTAACAATGCCTGGGCTGCATCTCAGATAATAGAGCCGATTTAATATTAAATTGTTGAAAGTACTGTAACTGGTGCCGAGGCCGGGTAAAATATAACCGAGCAGACAAATTAATTAAATTGGTAACATTGCCCAGGCTGTGTCTCGCATAATAGAACCTGTTTAATATTAAATTATTGAAGTACTTTGGCTGGGTGGAAAACAACCGAGCAGACAAGTGAATTAAATCAGTAAAAGTGCCCAGGCTGCATGTCGGATAATAGAGCCGATTTGATATTAAATTGGTGAAGTACTTTGGCTGGTGCCGAGGCCAGGTGAAGAATAACCAAGCAGACAAGTGAATTAAATCGGTAAAAGTGCCCAGGCTGCACATCGGATAATAGAGCCAATTTAATATTGAATTGTTGAGGTACCTTGGCTGGTGCCGAGGCTGGGTGGAAAATAGCCAAGTGGGCAGGTGAATTGAATTGGTAAAAGTGCCTGGGCTGCACATCAGGTGACAGATATTAAATTGTTGTACTTTGGCTGGTCCAAGGCCATGTAAAAAATAACATAGCAGAGAAGTGAATTGAATCGGGCATGGGTTGCATCTCGGATAATAGAGTCAATCTAACATTAAATTGTTGAAGTACCTTAGCTGGTGCCATGTCTCAGTGTGAAGTCACCAGTCAAAATTCCCAGGCTGCTGCTTGTGATTAGATATCAAATTGCTATGCCATGTCTGGATGCAAAATAACCAAGAAAATGAGTGAATTGAATCAGTAAAAATAACTGAGCTGCATCTCAGGTGATACAGCCGATTTAATATTGATTTGTTGCAGTCCTTTAGCTGGTGCCATGGCTGGGTGCAAAATGACTAAGCAGACAAGTGAATTAAATTGGTAGAAATGCCCGGGTTTCACATCGGATAATAGAACCAATTTGATATTCAATTGGTGAAGTCCTTCAGCTAATGCCATGTCCGGCTGCAAAGTTGCAAGTGAATGGATTCTCCCGCCATCCCACCATCCCACCATCCTATCATCCCGCCATCCCGCCATCCTACCATCCCGCCATCCCACCATCCTACCATCCTGCCATCCCACCATCCCGCCATCCCGCCATCCCACCATCCCGCCATCCTGCCATCCCATCATCCTACCATCCTTCCATCCTTCCATCCTTCCATCCTGCCCTC